CTCCCTTAGAAGAGCTGGCTCTTACGGCTCCCAAATGGCTTTTCATTTAGTATCACTCTGAGCCTTCTATTTTAGTCTAATTTTTTTAACGGTTTTTGTGTTGGTAAGCAATTTTTCATTCAGTGTTTTCATAAAAGCCTAATTTTTATGCTTTTTTTTTCAGTGCAAAAAAATCCACAGTGCTCTCTCCCCTCCAGTTGCACGGATGGGTGGGCAGTTATTAGATGTCTGTGCAGGTTTGCTGTTGACCCTGTTCTGATATGTTATTTTCATTTTACAAGTTCTGCACTCAGCTTTGCAGTCCAATCTCGCATCCACGTTTCCCTCACTTGTGTCTCTTCCCCGTGTCTTAGCTCCGCCCTCGTAGGATATTTTTAATCTGTCCTGTGTCCTGCTTAGAGTCACACAGCGTGTTTGTATGATTTATTCATTATGTGCATCTGTATTTATTGATATTCTGATTGTGAGTTCATTATTTAATAACCCAGAATATGATCACGATGTCTTTGAACATGAAATAATTTATTCGGCCAAATGTTTCAGGGAAAATTAAAATTCTGTAACTCATCAACCTGACGCTCAGGAATGATCAGCCTCAGTGTGACTGAATGGAAAAGGCGATCACTGATGTAAAAGTGTTTCTTGCTGACAGACAGACTCTCTGACAGACAGACTCTTGAATTGTATCCATGATTAAAGTCGATGAGGGAAATAACAGATGGTGAAGAAAGAAAATCTAATAAATGAAGAAAGTCATTTGTTTCCTTTTCTTGTTCAGATTTTTAACTCGATGGTGAATCAGAGAACAAATAAAATACAAAATGTGGCAGTGATACATTTGAGTTTAATCTCTTATCTGTCTTCACTCTGTATGAAACTCCAGTGATGTTGGGATGTATCAGATCAGTCCGATCAGCTGTCCAATCAATAACTGATATTCAATCAGGGGGGTGTGTCGGTTGGTAAAAGACTAACCTGAAGCTGCACTCGTGTGTCCTCTCTTCTCTCTCCTCGACTCCTCCGAGTGCATTTAATGTATTGAGACGTCTTACAAGATGGCGAGTCTCAATCGATTTCCAGGTCAAGTGATCGAGGATAAAGGACGGAGGAGTCGAGGAGGGATATTGGGATGGACCCACAGTGTCCCAGAACGTCAGCAACCAGCGCACCCAGGGTACCTTTCACATCGCATGTGGATGTGGAAAGCCCATGAGCAAAACGTCAATATTTGACAAGGTCGGAGTGAGAATGTGTTGGTCCTTGCCTAAATGTTTAGTGTGGTTCTTGCATTGTATTTGGATTGCTCATGAAAATTAGCTTCAAGCTAACTCTCATATATTGTTATTGTCATTGTCATTGTTATTTGATATTCCAGATGGCTCCTTACACATGAATAAGATAACATCAAAATAAAGAACTATTAATGCAAGCTTAAGAACTCCCCTGTGATTATTTTTCATCATGGTAAATTCAGCATGTCTGTTTTGCAGAAAACAAGTGATTGGAAGAGTCAGTATCACAACTACAGCTGGGCGATAGGGGAATGGAATGAATGCATCAGATGGACTGTATTCATAATCAATATGCCACAATAATATAAAAAACCAGTGCCAATTAATCAGTCAATGAGAATGTGTGTGTTGGGGTGACATAAGCACATACAGCGAGCCGCAGCAGCGACCCACTGTCCAAATCGGTACACCGTGAGGACGGAAACAGAGGGCTCGGTGGGGATGGAGCACCTGTCGCAGCAAGCGAAGACCTTGTCTGGTCATTTTGACTTGACCAGCAGACTTCACTACAGGCTGACTGGCTGTTGAAACAAGTGACATGCTTTACATTCTAAAACCAGCCGCTGGTGATATGACCAGTGGAGTTGCAGGTGACGCCATCAGTTAGCTTGAGTCGAGCTCAGACCAGCCAGTTCACACAGCTGCATCTTTTCTCTGCAACGTTCTAAAACAGTGTCTTCTCGTCTGGAATCTTTGGTCTGAACTGGTCTTTAGAGTTTTCTCACTTTCACCATTGTGCACCATGGTTGACGTGTTGCCATGACAACCTGAACCAAGTGGATTGATTGTATGGTGCTCTGAGGTTGCTCAGTATGCCTTCTAGATTACACTTTCTTAAACAGTAATAGAATTGCTTTTACATTGTGGCATCTGGACCTCTGTCAGAAAGTCCAAATTTTATGATTGCATTCTGAGACCCTCACATAATCTTGATATGTGGTTCTCAAATTCTCTCATGACCCCACATAGAGTTGCCAAAAACTTGAAACTGAGAGTCAGAAGGTAATATACATTGCTAAAGAGGTATTTCACTTCTGGAAAGATGGGTCTTTCTACAAAAGTAAGTTGTCTATGCATTAGAAAGAAACTGCTGCAACATGAACAGAGAAAACAGAGAAGAAGGGATGTGGCATCTGCTTTTGCTCAAGAATTAGAGAAGCCAGAACTACCAGAATGCACTGCACTGGACAAATAAACATCCCCAGTGGTGGGCTGAGTTGGCTTTGGCTCATCTGAAAACAACATTGTGGCTGCTGGTGATGTGAGAAATAAGTAAAATAATTGATTTTTTATATATATATTTGATCAGCACTGCCTAGTTTTCCCATTTGATCAGAGTTTTTTTAGACGCCATTTCTCAGAATACAGAAAACCGTATGGCGCACACTTTATGTTCACAAACTCTTTCTGAAAACATTGTGGGCAAGGATTTGGCAATACAGTAACATAATCTTGGGCTGTATTTGATCAGCACAGCCTAGTTTTGCAGTTTGATCTGAGCAAGGGGGGCGGCTCACTCTCTCCATACACTTCTATATTGTAGGTGTCCATGGTGACAGCCAGCGTAGTACAACAGAGCAACAGTCCTGGAGCCAGCAAAAATAAGCCGGATGACGCTTCACTGGAAAATGAGCAGGGAGATCTGCACAATGGCAAGCTGGAGGAATTTTTACACAGTTTACTGGTGCATACTACCCACACTATTACCATACAAAGCTGGTTGAAAATCGGCAAAGTATCCCTTCAAGATAATACTTTATTTTCTGATGAAGTGAGTTGTAGGGGAGGAAAAGGGTACAACATGTACTTTGCTGTTAATTCTGGCAAATGAAATTTAACCTCAGTTAAACAGACATTTTCAAACAATAATTTAGAAAACAATGGTGATTAAATAAAGTAGAAAAGCAAAGTATATACAGTATCTCACATAAGTGAGTACACCCCTCCCATTTTTGCAAGTATTACATTATATGTTTTCATGGGACAACAGTATAGAAATGACACTTTGATATAACTTAAAGTAGTCAGTGTACAGCTTGTATAGTAGTATAGATTTACCTTCCTCTGAAAATTACTCAAAACACAGCCATCAACATCTAAACAGCTGGCAACATAAGTGAGTACACCCCACAGTGAACATGTCCAAATTGTGCCTAAAGTGTCAATATTTTGTGTGCCAACCATTATTATCTAGCACTGCCTTAACCCTTTTGGGCATGGAATTCACCAGAGCTCACAGGTTGCTTCAGGAATCCTCTCCCACTCCTCCATGATGACATCATGGAGCAGATGGATGTTAAGACACCTTGCACTACCCCACCTACAGCTTGAGGATGCCCCACAGGTGCACAGGTGAGTTTAGGGCTGGATACATACTTGGCCAGTCCATCACCTTCACCTTCAGCTTCCTCAGCAAGGCAGTTGTCATCTACTAGGTGTGTTTTGGGTCATTATCATGTTGGAAAACTGCATTGCAGCTCAGTTTCCGAAGAGGAGCGATCATGCTCTGCTTGGAATTCATGTTTCACTTAATGAACCGAGCTCCCCAGAGCCGGCAGCACTCATGCAGCCCCAAACCATGATGCTGCCACCACTATACTTGACTGTAGGCAAGGGACAGTTGTCTTGCGCGCTCAGGGTGATCGGTGATGCGCGGTCTCTGAAGCAAGCGCGCACACGTGAGCGCGGAGCACAAAGAAGCAGTCAGAGCTACAGGCTACAGTGAGGCTAAAAACAGAGTTCATATGATATTTTTTCCAAACAACTTTTTATGTGGGGACTGCAGCACACTTGGATCACTACGGATGAGCAGTATGGAGATACTTTGTGGATTCAATTTTGTGTTCTTGGACGTTAGTCTGGGGCGCTGTCTGCCATTAGGTGTGCTAGCCGCTCCACCCGCCAATCTCCGCAAGGGATGTGAGGACTCTAAAACTTCACCAGGGCCTCCATCGGCATATGGGTGAGTGGATAATGGCTGAATTTTCATTTTTGGGTGCACTATCCCTTTAATATAGCGCACCCTCATGGGCTGCAGGCAGGTCAGCCCTAGCTTCGTACTGGAGAAATGTCAAATATTGAACATCCTATCACTCATTTAGACAAATGTAGATCAGAAAATAGGGCCCAGGTTGAAAAAAATGTTAGTTCCCCTTTAATGTATCATTTTGTCATATTTTATTCCCTGCTAAATGATGCGCTGTGAGAGAGAGAGTCCTAAGAACAGAGGGATGTTGTATGCTGTAAAGTCCTCTGAGACAAATTGTGATTTGTGATATTGGGCTTTATAAATAAAATTGAAATTGAATTAAACAGGATTTAGAGGAAACTTACAGGTAAGTTAGGTCAGGGTTAGAGAATGGTGTGGCCTGGTACTCCCTGCAGAGGCCTAATGATGCATCTACACATCATTTAACGTGAACACTGGGCAGACAGAAATAACATAACAGAAATACTGACAAAAGTGAAATTGTGTCCATATTTCAGCGGACAAAAAATATGATAATCACCACAACGAAGCAACTTGCTAAAGTTTGATCCACAAAAAAAAGCAGCATTTGTTCGGCAGCTTCAGTGACTGTTTGAAAGCCTGCAGATAGCAGAAAGATACAAGTTCACTTCCCGTGTTGTTCACTTCCTTTTCCCAATGTTGCCCTTTCTCAGTCTCAACAGTCATGACTTGGTATCCATTTGAAAACCAACACTCACCACCGGGCCTGGCTCTCCACGATCACCTCTGGCTCCTCTGATTCCTGGGCCTCCCTGTTTGAAGCACACATAGCAGGAGTTGATTAGAGGCAATCACCACATTAAAATGTAGCATATCTTGATACTGTGTGTGTGTACAGATACCCACAAAGCTGACTAACATGCTGAGATACAAGAAAACAAAACTAACTAAAAGAAAAGGGAAGAAAAAATGTAGTGAATGAACTTTAGCAACTCAATCTGCACATAAAGCATGAACTGTTATTTTGTGTCTTCATCCATCTGTGTGACTGCATGCATGAATGTGTGGCATGTGTGTGTGTTTTAGCAGGTGGACACTGCAGTGGGTACTGATTGTCTGCTAAACATTGTTTTTTACATGTCCTCCTTTGCACAATACTGCCTTACTTCTTTAACCTGTTCAGCTGTCCATGTTTTTCCTTCTCCCGTTCTAATTTGACATGTTGTGTGTTTTGGCGTTGCTTTGAAGGTCCAGTGTGTAAAAGTTTGGCCTATTTAGCGGCTTCTAGTGGTGAGAATTGCAAATTGCAACCAGCTGAAACTTCTGGTTTGAATTCCTTCAGTGTTCATTGTCCAGGAGGTTTTTTACAGAGAGGTGAATTATCCTTGGAGGTCTCTTCCCCTCTAAAACAAACAAACCAGGCTTAAAACCAGTAAAAACACTGAATAGAGCACTCTAGCGTTACAAATCAGTGTTTCTCCAACCCTATTCAGCACGGCGCAGACAGCCCGCTTGCCTGGCAAGTTTCACATTAAAAAAAATCTGTTTTTTCCCCAACACTTCTGGGCTACTGCAGAAACATGGCAGTGCAACATGATGATCTCTGTGCGAGGACCTGCTCCCTATGTAGATATAAATGGCTCAAAGGTAATGAAAACAGGATGATTCTCATACACCAAAGAAAACATACTCATTATATTCCATTTGTGCCAATGTATCCCCCTTAATCCTAAACACTGGGCCTTCAGTGGCCAGTTTAACATTTGGCAGAGGAAGAACCATTGAAAATCTGCCTTTTGGCTAACACTGGCACATTTATAGTGATGCTGATCAATGTGCATTGTCCCTGAGAAACTAAAATAAAATATAGTCCCACTGTTGCTCTCTGCCTGCTTCGAAACTGCTGCTGAAGAAGAGCGCACTGTATATATTGACACATTATTTCCTTATCCCTTTCATGCATGAGTCATGACTACTCTGGTTCAGAATTTTTTCTAAGTGTTTATATTTGTCTTTAGTTGTGAAAAACAAAAATTTGAAGTTCATTTTTTAAACATGCATTTTTCAAGGAGTTTTTTACATGTCCATTCAGGTGGACAACAAATAAAATCTATTGTTTTACTGTTACTGTAAAAACAACTCTACTGTTTTTTATGCCGTTAAACTGTTCACATATTTTAACATACTCCAATACTATTCAATGCATCCGCAAAAGTGTTGAACATTCTGACTCCTCAGCCTCTCCCCTTTATTTCTAAACCTCCCTCTTGTGGCATTTTTCATATTATATATTATATTTTCATGTCCTTACAATGTTGTTTGGCCACTCTGTTCACCAAATATTTTTTGACAAATAACTTAATATTGTGCTCACAGTTAAATACAGAAGGTTGTTGCTAAAAGGGGAAGATGCCGTATGACTAGCTTTATCATAACTGTATCATAGCCTTAGTTAGATCTCTCTGTGTAGTTGCCCTCAACCTAAGTTTAGTTTGTTGTATATTTTCATAATGGCACTGGTAGATCATGTGTGGTGAACAGCTGCAATCAAGACAGTGAATTACACCTAATCCCACGGCGAAAATAACACAACACATGAGACAGTCTGAATTGTGAATGACAGAGGGAGTCGCTGTGTTGTGCTAATTGTGGTCTCATTTGTGCTCTGATAAACACTAAATTTGCGTGCCATATTGCTGTTTTCCAGACTACTCTGGCTGCAATCTCGTTGCTTAGGTAATGGATTAACATCACATCCAGCTGTTAAGCACACATCCATTCTCTGTTTAAGAGATAAGATTAACTGTTAAACAGGAAGTAAAACTGACTGAAGGGGGACTCTGAGCAGGACTTCTTTGACAGTGAATGGGCATGTATTTAATGTATTTGTGTGAGGCTCACTGGTGGTCCAGCAGGGCCAGGGGGGCCTTTACTGTCCTGGGTGCAGGTGCAGGCTTTGGGCATGGCCGGGCAGTCTACCTCCTTCCTCTGGATGATCACAGCATGGTGGGGATGACACAAAGACAAAAAATAATTAAATGAATAAAAGACATCACGGTGACATGGCATTATAAATGAGAAAATAATGACACATGACAAAAATAAAGCAGAAAAGTGGGCATGTGACATTTTCCACATGTATGTCACTGTTTCAGATAACATTGCTTCCTGAGACAGGAAATATCTGTGATGGTTTTATCTGTTTGAGTTTTATTTTCCATTGACTGACAGATTATCACTGAAGACAAATGATCTCAGGAAGGAAATGATATTTAAAAAAATAAGCATATAATATTGTAAACAGCTGTGTGCCACAGAATGCTGTTCTCTTGCACTGCAGCCCAAAACTGAATGTAATTTTGATTTAATTTAATTATCACAGACGCAACATGGGACATGCCAACATTATTTCAGATTGAGTTTTGGTTTAGTAAGACTTGTGGATCTGGTAAAACAATCCAGCGTCTGTCTCCGCTCACACCGCGCAGCTGGTGAACCTAAATCTGACAGAGAGTTGGAGGGAGACAGTGTGATTTTACACCAGACTATCTTACTTGTTGTTAAACTTAACAGTGGGTTATTGCCTACATTAGACTGCCTGTATTAAGATGTTTGAATAGTGATTTAATTTTACAGCAGTGGCAAACAATGCTGAGGCTGGGAAGAGCTTCCTGTAGCTGTTGTGTTTTTTTGTGTGTACTTGTGTGTTTTTTGCATCAGGTTTCATGTCGAACCATTTTTTGTTTAACTTTTTGGATGGTTCTCACAACAGAGGACATGCAGTTAACAGCCTTTGATTTCTCTCTCTCTGTCACATTACTAATAACAGAAGAAAATGAAATGCATTTCTCAACCCCATTTCACCTAAAATAACTTTATTCTCATACACATATATATATATATATATATATATATATATATATATATACACATATATATATATATATTGTCCATATTGCCCATATTTCCCTACAACTGCCAAAATAAGGTGGCAGCTGGCTTTAGGAAGGTCACGAGGAAGCTAAAAGTTTCTGAAAAATGACCAGCAGAATTAACAACCTACTTGCAGTTGGCTATATTGAATGTTATTTCCAGAAAAATCACAATAAAAAACTTGTGTTTGTGTTTAAAGTACAAATGCAGGAAAACAGCAAGTGCTCACCCATCTTTTCAGTGGTTTTGTCTCCAGGCTGCTCTTGAGTGCACAGCTGTTTTGTACATGGTGTCTTTATATGACCTAGATCTAGTGGTAAAATTTGGTACACCAGTCCTGTGCAGTGTCTGGCCTAATATCAAACTGATTTGACAATTTTTACACTGGCACAATCCCACACTATAGTATAGTAGTGTTGTGTAAATGAATACTTGAGATCTACACCATTAAAATGTCTGTTTCATAGCAATGATACGGTAAATTCTTTCAAACCGTTCTTCAGTTGTTACCATTTACTTTGTGAACAGACAGAGGTGTGAACTGGAGTAAAGAGAGTTTTCACAGGAAAGTAAACTTTGACCTCACCAGACCAGGAAGTTCGCAGCACTTGTCTCTGCTGGCCCACGAAGTGCTGCAGACGATGTCAAAGATCTGAAGCTGGAACTGAGGACAAGTAGTACAAACACAAAAAAACTTCAATACACAAACCAAAATATGTGTGAATACACAACTGACAGCACAAAGTGGATGTTTGACAGCAAGGTTTACAGCATCCCAAAGGACACAAGAAATGGTTCAGTCATCTAATGAAATATAACAGGCAAAGAGTTGTCTTGCACTTCTGTAAACAGAATATACTCCAGAATATAGCACATTTCTGCATATTTTACTTGTGAATTTCATTTACAGGTGTGTCATGACAATAATTGATAGGGAGACTTTTAAAATTGGTGTAATGTGTGCTCTCTTTCTGGTCCTTGTCAGCACACATGCAGCTGAGTTTTTTAGTAACTGCAACTGAGCAATGTTTTTCTTCAGAAAGTAGAGCATTGCAGTAATAAAATATGCAGGTAATAAAAGCATGCATTAGTGTCTCTGTGTTGGTTTGAGAGAGAAACAGTAGCACCCTGGCAATGTTCTTAAGATGATGAAATCCAGTTTTGGTTATACTTCTAATATAGGGTTCAAAACTAAGATTGGAGGCAAAGATAACTCCAAGGTTTTTCACTTGTTGACGGGATTTTAGTGTCACTTCTCGCAGTTTTGTGTTGAGTTTCTCTTTCTGAGCTTCAGGACCAATAACTAAGACCTTGGTTTTGTCCTGGTTGAGTTGAAGAAAGTTTTCTGCCATTCAGGAATTGATATCTAAAATACAGTTAAAAAGGGCATTGATTGGCCCTCAGTCATCAGGAGACACAGCCATGTACAGCTGTGTATCATCAGCATAACTATGGAAACTGATGCTGTGCCTCCTGATGACGTTTCCAAGTGGCAGCATGTAAAGATTAAAAAGTGTTGGACCTAAAATTGAATCTTGGGGGACCCCACAATTCATTTTATAGCTTTTTGATGAACATTCATCCATTGTTACATGAAATTCTCTTTCGGAGAGATATGATTTAAAGCAGCTAAAAACAGTACCAAAGAGGCCAACCAGATTGTGAAGTCTAGCTAGGAGAGTAGCAGAGTAGAGTAGTACTAGAATAGAGAGTTCCTTCATATCCATATTAGACTTCAGGTCATTAACAACCCTGATGTCTCTGTGCGGTGATAAGCTCAAAAGCAAGACAGGTATTTTTCAAAAATACTGTGGGAGATCATAAAATCATCTAACTAATGAAAAACAAGCTTCTCTAAGATTTTACTTAAAAGTGGCAGATTGGACACTGGTCTGTAGTTGCTAAGTATCGAGGCGTCCAAGTTATGATGATGATTTGAATCTCTGACTTTCAGGGGGCTACCCTAGTCATAACTGGCTCAAAGTAATGTAATTTCATGACTGAATAAAATAATACACCAAGTTAGCACTACAGATGCATTCAAAAACGTCTTCTGTGGAATTCACAGCGACAGGCGGGAAAGCAGACGTTACATCACTGAAACAAATGTGATGGAAATCAAAATATGAGAAGAAGTGGTGTTTTATTTTTATGTCACATGGCAGGATTAAAATCACTGTTGATCTCTGCAACTGTGACAAATCATTGGATGTTGCAAGATATTTTAGTGCTTAAGCGAAAGACTTTAATTCATAATCCTCATTATGAGGACAAAGAGAAAAGATTACCTCTGGTCTACAGCTTTACTTTGAACCTTTTTGCAAAGGTCTGTGTTTCAGTTTGTGTAATTAGGTATGGTGAAATCTGAGGTACAAATTTAGACTATTAGTCACAGCCTCCCTGTTATTCATGGGGGTTAAAACACAGCGCAAGATTATAAGACTCATCTTGCTTTATAGAAATATTCAAAAAACAAAGTAGGGAGAAGAACACATTCAGCTGTTCCTGGAGGCCAATGCACAGAAAGTGATACTAAATTTGTTGCTGCTTTTTTCTGGATTGAGGACCGTGTTGTACTGTGAGGTTGTAAATGTGTGTACAAAGTGTACAATCAATAAAAAGAAAGGTTTTGCAGGTTGGTAAACGATCTTTTCCGAGGCTCAGATCAGCAGTTTGTTTTCGTCTGTAAGAAAACATGGGCTCGGCTGCCCACGTTTGGGGACTTGCACAACTGTGGCCAGTGGAGAGAATTTTTAGAAAAAAATTATTTGACACAAAAGTAGACTTCTTCAGCTTGAGAGCAGTCACTGTCAAGAGTTTTCTCTTCAAAGGCAGATCAAACCAATCAGACACATAATCTGCATCGCTGCTATTTCTGCAAGAGAGCGGCTGGAAATCGATTTGTTTGCATTCATAAAGCTGCTCGAGGAAATGCCTTGGCTTTGATGGAAGAAAATTAAACAGAGATGAAAGCGCTGCAACAGCATGAGATCAAATACTGTTAGTCATAACTCATTCGGTTACTAATGTTGCAAAGAAGACGTCTGCCTGCGTTCTTGGAGAACATCAGTGTGATCAAGTCAGTCAGAAGGAGGAGTGCTTTATCTGATTTCAGTTCAGGGATCTTTTTTGTTGGCATGCTCAGCTTATGAAATCTTTACAAGTGAACACATGATGGTGCTGATAATAGTCTGAGTCGAGCCTAGTATCTCGCAGAGACTCGAAACTGGTACAACATGTAAACATATAGCTACTTTTAAATGTATTTTCCTCATGTTTAAATGCAACCCAATTGCCCCCAAAAAATATAGCACTGTACATTTCTACAAACCATGGATACGTTACATTTGTACATTATTATGTAGTAGAAACGTTTAGGATGAGGCACAAAAATTACTACGCAAAAGACTATGTTTGGACTTAACATCCCCGGTTTTGGGGGCATGATCCTGGCAGGAATTGCAGCAATATCTCAGTAAAAAAACAACAAATACACACTGACATGTCTCTAAAAAACACCTACGTTAGGTGCTGCAACTTTGGCAGCTGTCTCATCTGATTGTCACGCCACCCCCCTGTCCCCTCCACTGCCCTATGACAAAGCTCATAAACTACATGACTTTAGAAACAATATGATGCATATGAAGCATACAAATACAACCTATTTGTGGTTTGCAAATATGTACAATACCAATATTTTCTTCTGGGGACTGGGCTGTAAGATGACTGTTCCGCAGTAGGGCTTTTCCATTGGCACTTTTGGCCACGCCAAGTCAAACCATTTTGTGTTTCAATTGTCAGTTAAAATAAGATGAGCCATGGCGTGGCGTGATGGATTATCACTTGAGACGGGCAAAAGGCGCACCCGACCGCCTCCAAGCTGGTAGCAGTGACATCCTGGCAACTGCAGCCAAACCCCCTTCTCCCCCCAAAACAATTGTGCCTGGTGAGACTCGACTCACCTCTGTCTGCAGGAGACCAGAAAGAAAGGCGTTCTTGAAAGTCTTTGCGTGTTCAGCTCAGCTCTCAGTACTTTTGTAGCTTCTAACTGTTGTGCACAGGACAATAGGCACTGCACTGCACTGAAATGATCAACTTCTTCTCCATATTCATCACAAACTGATACATAAATTACAGAAGCAAGGAAAGATATCTGTCAGCTGTGACTGGTTGGTCCTTGTCACATGACATGTGGTGAGTGCAGCCGCTGTGCCCTAAAAAATAGGTGCTAAGGAATGCGTGCACGCTGCAACATTCTGGCATTTGAGTGTGCATGTTGCGTGTCTACATTGAAAACAATGAATCTGAGGGTGCAAAAAAACGCAGCATGTGTATGACCCCTAATACCACAGGGAAGTGGACAAGCAGAGACAGTGACTGTGAGATGTTAGATGAAGAGCTGCACACAACAGGCTCTTACTGTGTCTCTGCAAACAGCTCACCTCCAACAGGTAAACTTCTTTTACCTACAATATTGTGTGAAATGATGTAATAATGGAAGACTTTTAGCCATGGATCAGCCCACTGACATCTACTCAAGACAAGCCCTTTTGTAATGGAAATGCAAATCACTGCCATGCTGGGCTGATGTGCTGAGTCAAACCGAGTCAAGCCAAGCCAGCACCTTAAAACCTAAACCTGACCCTATGGAAAATAGGTACAGGTGTAAGCAAGGCCTGTTTTTAACTCTCTCCTTGTCGGTACCTTCAAGGACCAAGGCCCTTTCCACAGTTACATTGACAAATGAATATTAACTAACTTCAATATATGTAGTTGTGTAGCAGATATGTTTCCATTAATGCTTATATGTGTGCGTGTTGTCCTCACCGGTGCAGAATTGTCCTTGTTCCCTCTAGAGCGGACCATCCGGCCCAGAACTTCCAGTCCGTCGATGGTGATGTTTCCCGCTGCGTTGATGGTTTTCTCGGCCACCATCTTGCAGTCAATCACCACTTTGGCACTCGTCTTGCTGATTGCAATATGAAGCTGCAATGAGAGAAAACATCCAACATGTTGACTCAGCCACTTGTTTAACCTTGTTTTTAGTGCTGAACACCTGAAAAATGTCTTTAGACAGTTCATCAATTTCGATAAGTTTTGAGCAGAATTACCAGTGTTTACATTCAAGGTAAATTGCCTGTAGTCAAAATAAGTGATATGAAAACAGTAGTTCGGCTGTGGTGCGGCCATTAGCTATATACTATGGACTGTAGATGTCCCTGAGGAGGATGTGTGTCAATCTCTCCTATATTTGCAGCCTTCAGAAGGTTTAGTCTCTGTATGCTGTAGTAGAACAGCACCCTCTGCCTGTGTGCTCCTGTAATATCATGAAGCAGATTTTCAACCAAATCTAACCTGGTGACTCAGAAGATAAAGCTCAGAGTGGAGGCTGATACAGTCCACTGTCCTTTACACTGTCCTTAACAACAACACACATTAATGAAAATCAATATGATGTGCAATCCCTGCTCAGGTGCATGTTACACATTAAGAAACACAAACATCAAGGCAGAGGAATACAAAAACATTAAAGCACACATTGGAGCACAACAGACAAGACTAAACAGCACAGACACAACCAAAACTAAACTCTTCATCTCATTCAACTGAAGTGAGTGTTAAATTGCACCACATTTATTTTGTAGATCTGATTCCAGTTGACTGCTATAGCAGCTAATAAAGTTGGTTCTTCTCTGCCATACAAAGATGTCTGAACACAAATCTAAAGTAAACTTTTTTTTATTAGGGAAACTGCTAAATAGATGATGGAAGAAGTGCATTAAAATTTCACTTTAAATTAAGTCTTATAATTCAGTAAATAAGCTGGAATTTTGTTTTCACAGGAAAAAAAGTCTGCAAAACAATTAAAAATTGATTCACAACATGCACAAACTCACACACAAACACACAATTTAAAGGAACAGATGCTCCAGATTTAGGGGGATTTAGTGGGGTCTTGTGTCGAGGACTGCAGATTGCAACCAGCTGAAACTTCTCTCAGTTAAAACCCCTGCAGTGTTCATTGTTTAGGAGGTTTTTACTGGAAGATGAATTATCGGCAGAGGTCTGGTCTTAAACTGGTAAAAACACCAAATAAAGCAGTTACATGTTACAAATCACTGTTTTTCCAATACTGTTCTTAGCAGACAGGCTTGTAACTACAGTGGCTGATGTGAAAACGCAAATGGCAGTATCTTAAGCCAGTGTTTGGTTTGTCTGCTCTGGGTTACTGTAGAAACATGGTGGTGCAACACAGCAATCTCTGTAGACGAGGATCCGCTCCCTACATAGATATAAACCACTCATTTTAAAACACAACAATTCTTATTTTTAGGTGAATTTAAACTCAAGAATACATACATGGCTGTCTCCAGTTCTAATTTTACATGTTATGTGTTTTAGTGTTGGTCTGAAGGTCCAGTGTGTAAAAGTTTGGCCTATTTAGCGGCCTCTAGTGGTGAAGATTGATGATTGCAACAGGCTGAAACTTCTGGTTGGAATTCCTTCAGTGTTCATTGTTCAGGAGGTTTTTATGGGGAGGTGAATTATAGGCAGAGGTCGCTTCCCCTCTGAAACAAATGGAGCAGGTTTAAAACCAGTAAAAACGTTGAATACAGCACTCTAACATTACAAATCAGTGTTTCTCCAACCCTGTTCGAAGAAGACGTGCTTAATTAAAGCAGTTTCACATTAAACAATCAGTGTTTTTCTGACACTCTCGCCATAGAGGGGCTTCAAACTACGGTGGCGTACACAAAAAATGTCCCTATCTAGTGCCAGTGTTTGGTTTGTCTGTTCTGGGCTACAGCAGAAACATGGCGGTGCAACATGATGATCTCTGTAGAGGAGGACCTGTTTCCTATGTAGATATTAACGACTCATTCAAAGGTAACGAAAACAGGACGATTCTTATTTTCAGGTGATTATATACTAAAGGAAACATACTTACTATATTCCATATGTGCCAATATATCCTTCTCAATCCTACACACTGGACTTAGCACTACTAGTGTTTTCATCCTGAATGAATTCAAATGAAAAACAAATCAATACAAAATGCCGCCTCTGTGCATTGCTTATTCAGGACAAAAATATACCCTGACTTTACATCTAATATTACATTTTAAAGAATTACGAGCTCGTGTTCAAAATGAATGCTTTTACAGTTTTATGAAGAACCACATCTATAGCTCCACAACCTGCAGCAGAGCTGGAACTGGGACAAAAATCTGAGCACACGTGGAAAAAAAACTAAAATTACCTCTCTGAGCGTGGCTGCTATTTATAATTACTGGAAGTACTGTCACCATCATGGACAGTCGAGTGCTGAACTGTTAGGTGGATGAAACGCTGCCTGTCTGTGCTGAGTGGCTCCTCAACATCATTAACCCTCCTCTCCTGTAACTGAAACAGAGCGGCGAGCGGCTGCTGTCAGTGACTCACACATCTGAACCCTTTTAACCTCCCTCTGTCAGCATGCCTTCGTTTGACAGGGAGAAGAAAAAAAAGAGTTTGTAAAAGTTATTCTCTGGTTTGTTTCCTGCTGTATCTACAGAAAAGAATAAAAATCAAGATGCTGTCTGAGCTTTCTTTTTTGGGAATTCACGGGTTGTCGGTGCGTGCTTCTCATTTCTTTCCCCCTTTTATTTTCTTTTTTAATCTCCATTTTATATAGGGTACAATTATAATTCACAGCAGTGCAAATTAACTTGTTAAAATGTTCCATGTTTGTCCTGGCACGGAGGACATTCAACACACACATGCACACACAGCTCCAAGGAAAACAGGCCATAAACTTTAAGTGTCTGCTCTGTAATTTTGATTCTATAAGTGAAGCGATGTGATATATAAGCATGACTTAATTTGGCAGTGAAAGATATCACAAGCATGTTTTTATTTTTTGTTTGTTTGTTTGTTTTTTCATTTCCATTTTGCTGTTTTGGAGCTCTTGTCAGACCTTCATGTTTAGTTCAGAAGAAATAAATACATTTTATTCTTATTTGTGCATTCATTTTGGAGCCAAGAAATTACAGTTCAGCATCCACAGATTATTATAATCTACAAAATTACACAGTTTTACAAACAGCTGTGATAATGAGCGTCATTTTCATGTGTAGTAATCAGTGTGTCAGAGAAGAAGTTACTCTGTTTGACAGTTTGCTGTCTGCTGTGAATAATGTTCTGATGAAGTGACAAGTGAACATTAGTTTTATCTTCACAGAGAGAAGAGACATCACTAGAGTTTACCTGCAATCAAATAAACACTTTCACACATTTAACATACAAGTGATTTTCACATGACGTCTTCATTTGTGACTTCTTTTCATCAGCCAGAGGAAAATATACACGTTTTATATTATCACTCTCACTGCACTGTGTGGACAAAGGGAGCCAAGTTTTTTTTTGTTTTTTTTTATTAGTAGACCACTGCAAACAGTCAACAGAGGGATCAACAACTTCAGTAGTCTTAAACACCAAAAGTACTGATGGACCATTTTAGTTCAGCCTGCAAATCAGTGCTTAAGACTTCAGTTTGTCCTGCATTTTATCAAAATAAATTTGGGAAATTTTAGTCATATCTTGCACTGCACTGTAACACTGTAATTTTCATTTTACTTTTTGACATGCCGTTATGATTGTCACAATCACAGAAGGTTTATTCTTGGATGTACAGTTAAGATGACCATACCAGGCAGGAAGGTGAAAAGTTAAAACATTCTCAACCATAATTTTGTACACTAATTCTAACTGCACGCCTTGAGTGAAGGTTTGTAAATTGAAGTTCTGATATAGTTAGTTAAACATGGTACCTGTTAATTTCAGTTCACGAATAATGTTCGCCTGTTTACAGCTGTGGAGGCATGAAAGAACAACAAGGTTTTCTTCACAAATCCAGTGTAACACGCAGTGTGTAACTGATATACAGATGGTCATTTTGCATTTTTTTTCAAGTATTTCTTTTAATTTTGTCATGATTCTGTAGGGATAAACTCTTCTATACGAATAAGGTTATTATTATTATTATTATTATTATTATTAGTAGTAGTAATAGCAGTAGAGTCACAAAATAAAACATTTTTTTTTAAATATCTTATTTCTGTAAATATGTACAGCCACTTCATTTGTATAGTGACAATTTTATCACTAATCATTAAGATGAGCAGTATTCGCAGTAGTATTAGTATCAGTATTTAGGGCTGCACTCTAATAGTCAACCAAATGTTAGTTGTCCAGAAGGGTCATTTGTTGGCATTTCATTTTCATTTTCATTTTGCTTAGTCGCAGAAAAAACAAACAAACAAAATAAAAACAAATGGGCTCTTGAAAGCTGGCACAAAAAAGGCATAAGAGTAGCACCCAGCGCCCAACCTTGCGTTTTACAGGTGGTTAAAGATGTGGCATTTGTACAGCCCCTTATTTACAGGGCTGGTACCTGCGGTTATTCCACAGGCTAGTTAAAGGGAAATTTCGGTTTATTTCAACCTGTCTCCTATCGTCCTAAATTTGTTTCAAGTGACTAGTGACATAGAAATAATAGTTTGCATGTTAGCCATTAGCCTAGATACAGCTGGGGCGCATTAGTAGCATCAGACCTGTTAAAACGTAAGTGAACGGGCATACCTTCAAGTGCAAAGTTAGTCCACTAAACAAGCTTTTTTTCCACAAAGACCGCCTCATATCGTTAGGATAAATGTCAGAGAACATATAGAAAACGACATGTAAACGTGTTGTCTTATCTTACCGGTGTGGTGCCATGTTTGTTTACCATTTAGCTCTGCTTTCCAAAGCCTTTAATAACATGTCAGGCAGGAAATTCAAAGTGTGGGATCATTTTGAGAAGGTGAAGGACGAACCCAAGGTGATATGTAAACTCATCTTCATTTGACTACAAACATGACATATCATCTGAAACACTGAAGTAGCTACATGCCCATTAGCCACTTAGCACAGTCATTACTGCTTTGCTGACAGCGTTATTAACAGGTGGCTCGCTCAGTGTGTGATGTGCACTTGTAGATAAAATATAGGCCTATATTAATGAAGGTTCATTAGTACGGTTTTGTATTTCTCTGTAATGTAGCACAGTGTTGACAATGTTACTGATACTATTCTTTCTCACACCTTCAACTCAAACCATTGTGTTGCCCCACCCAAAATATATCATTTAATAATTAAATAATATCGGAAACATGCAGGCAACTAGTCGACTAATGGCCCTAAATGACGACTATTGGTCGACTGGAAAATTTCTTAGTCGGGGGCAGCACTATTAGTATTAGTATGAGGTAAGGAGGTGGGACAGGATTTGTGTTCAGTGTGTGTTTGGTCAGTCTGTTGAGTGTAAGTTCACTGTTGCTGTGACTTTGTTGTAAATGTCAAAGTGATTTATCAGCAGAGGAACAAACTCATGTCAACAAGCATGTTGGTGCACTGACTGTTTCTGAGTGAATTTACTCATTTGAAATGTGAACAACATTGAGATACAACAGGATTCGTTATGTCACTGTACACTATTACACACCGGATACACTGCAGATGTAGAGGTGGCTGTGAAAATAAGCTTGTGTATCCACCAGAACCTAACCTGTGATTTGACCAGTGTTTTGTAGAAATATTTTTGGTATTCCAATGAATTACAAGCTGGCTGTCAAAAATTACATTTTGTTTACGCTTAATATATAACTTCTACAGTGAATTTAAAGGTACAGTAGGCAACAATTGTCACTTACTTTTTGCCAACAATATTGCTGGTGAAAGTGAAAAGCAACCCCAGCTTTGCTTGCCCAGCGTTTCGTCCTGCTGTATCTGCATTTTTTCGGCACTGTAGGTTTTTTTGTAGCTTCTTCTTGAATATATGCTGCTTACAGTCTGGCAAGTGATTGCTATGGTTTTATTAAGTCCCCATTTCACCTGCGCACTATGAATAACAATGTCCCCAATACAGCAAAAAAAGAAAATCCAGACAGAGGGCAGAGTCTCTGCAGATAAAGACGCCGCCACACACTTCTAGTCAGTCACAAGTGACGACTGAGAGGGATTACCTACTGTATGAGTCTGTACATTGTTTTTTAGTAAAGTCCTGCATAGTATACCTTTATAAACATTTTGGTTTATATTCACTGATGTGGCTGCAGTACTCAGGTAAAAATATCTGAAACTTTGGAGGCTGAAATAAATGTAGTCATGGTGGTTTATTCTATATCAGGAAAGCCAGCTGTAAGCTGTAATCACAAAGTGTGCTACTGTATCTACTGCAAGCCCACGTGTGTGTGTGTGTGTCTGTGTGTGTAAATACAGATTTACAGGCATTGCAGAGTTCCCTCGAACCTGCATTAGCACTGCAGAACTGTAATACAAATCCTGTTTAAGAGTGTGAAGTGTGAAGCAACACTGTACTATCAGTTTAGAAACCTTGCTAAAGGAATGTTCTACACTCTTGTCATATTTCCAAGACATCAGCTTTTCAGGAAGTAAGAAATATGACAGCCAGAAACATTCAGAGTTTAGTGTGAAAAGCGTTACAAGACTGAGGAAAACTGAACTTTTGTGACCCACGGGGGACCATTCTGTCTTTTAAAGTTAGTTAAGTTCGCCAAAGTTCAGAGAAAATGATCAAATTAGAGATGTCCTCTGATCCCTAGTCACATAAACCCATTGAAATGTCACACAGAATCTTCAGGTGGGCACTGAAAGTACTGTACTGGTCCTCTAGGATTATAAAACCCACTATGTATGCAGTGACACACACACACACACACACAGCTAGCAGAAGAAAAGGTGAAAAGGTAAGCAGGATAAGCTCTGCTGACAGCGAGCAGACAGAAGTGACTGCAGATCAGTCAGTGAATCCCTCAGCACTGACACACTGACACTAACACAACACGACTGTGAGCAGGTTCAGAATCAGGGCACAACTCAACTACAGTCGGCCTGTCAGGACTCCCACTGCTGTCTCACTGCACAGCCAGCTTCAGACAACAGAAGAATGAGTGTCAGGAGGAGGAGGAGGAAGAGGCGGAGGAGGAGGAGGAGAAAGAAGGAGAAGAGGGGGAGAAGGTGGAAAGGGAGGACGGAGAGAGGTAAAGAGAGGGAGTAGAGGTTGACAGGTTGATAGGGAGGAAGAGAGGACGGAGAAGGAGGAAAAGAAGGCGAGGAGGAGTAGGAGTAGGAAAGGAAGGAGAGGGAGCAGGACGAGGAGGAGGAGAGGGAAGGGGAGGTGGAGAGGGTGGAGGAGGAGGAGGAAAGTGTGAAGGAGGAAAGGAAAGAGGGTGAGGAAGGAGTACAGAGGATGACGAGAAGGAGGAGGAAAGAAAGGAGGAGGAGAGGGAAGGGAGGAGGAGGAGGAGGAACGCGAGGACGGAGAGAGGGTAAACGGAGACGAGAGGGAAGAGGAGGAGGTTGAGAGGGAGAAGGCGGTGGAGAGGCAATTGTAAATGTAACAGGAAGCCAGTGCAGAGCAGCTCAGAGTGGCCTGGCCTCTCCTCTTGGTTTGGGTTAATAGCTGAGCTGCAGAGTTTTGAATGAACTGAAGTCTCTCAGTGATGTTTTTTTTGGGAGGCCAGTAAAAAGTGTGTTACAGTAGTTGAGTCAGCTTGAAATTAAACACATATACTGTACACATTTTATAGTATTTATCCATATTTTTATTGTGCATTTTTCCATTCTGTATTTATGAGGCTAATTCCTTGTATGTGAAATCCTATTGGCAATAAACCTGACTGTGATATATTTATGATTCTGGTGCACACTGTTTACATACACTCCACCTTGCTGACTTTGCTGCAACTAATCACTAATCACTAATTTAGTCTTTCATTGCTGCTGTGTAATTATTATTATTTTCTATTCTAATTTTAGTTTTACAGACCTCTTGTTATTCATTTTTGTACTTTTTCTCTATACTTATTTCTGTCCTTGTGCTGCTGCAACGACTGACTTCCCCCTGTGGGTATGAATAAAGGCTTATCTTAACTAAAGACTATAATGTACTTAAGCAGCAAGTCGAGCTTTGTCATACAAAGGTTTGTGTTTCTGGTTCACTGACAGTGCACACTTGTTCTAAAGCAACCTCAGAGGCGTGCTCTGACTCGAGGTATGTTGGGCCTTAAGCCAGAGTTTTTAGCATTACAATAGTAGCTCTCTCTTAGCCTGGCTAAATCTTCATGATAACTCACACTGCACACCTCACCTGCTCCAGACCAGTTTTGAAATCAGCTATAAAATGCAACTTTTACTGATAATCTGAAAAAGTGTCATCATTCATCACATGCCAGAAATGTAAGCAGCTCTCTTCATAAGGAGAAATTGTTTAGGGACCGAACGAATCTGTTGGCTTTTCCTGATTATATTATCCATGAGTGATGAAGATCTTTAGATGAGGGAATAAGTTATAAATGCCACTGAGCAAAGCTGTGCAGAAAGTATTATACTTATTAGGGAGTGCTGCTGGGTTTTTCTGCTTTGCTATCATACAAGGTGCCACCTGCTATTCAGTTGACCATCCATTCACAAGCCTGGGATTGAGGACGACCCACACTACCTCTCAGTCACAGCTGCCCCAGTGTCAAGTGTTGTGTTTGTGTGTCATTGTTTTTCATGCTGAGTCTAACAAGTACAGTGCTGTGGAAAAGAATTTCCCCTTGGGGACAATAAAACCTAACCTTACCTAAAGGAGTTTGCACACGGAGTCCATTTTTTTCAGATGAGTTTTTTAAATCTGTCATCCGGAAAAAATTATTGTGCACAGAAACCTTACACACCGATCCCAACGCAGTTATTGTTCTTTTGGTGAAATTCGCAATATGTGACAAAATGAAAGGACACATTTCCTCCTTTGCCTCTCTCCATTGGAGTTACCTATGTGGCTGTCATCATTCCCTCCCTGTCTTTCATTTGGCACTGCAGCTGCATGAAGGGGTGGAGCTGTCCTCTACATTCTGTGTGCGGCCCACATGCTCCTCCTCCTCCTCGTCATCATCATCCACCTGAATATCACTATCTGACCTGTGGAACGTGAGCTATCTGAGTTATGAAATCATTCTGTGCGCCCTGTTCCTCTGTCTTGTTGCAATTGTGTCCAGCTACCACATTTTCTTCACTGATTTTTGGTCAAATGTCTCTAAAGGCTTCTTATGGATGTAAAAAGGAAATTGAACCTGTTCCTAAAATGTTAATGACGGACGAAAGATTTTTTAATTCTTCAAAGGCAGAAGAAGGCAGCAAGATTGGTCCATTTTGTGCGGTAGTTGAGTCAAATGATGCCAAACACCCCCTTTTATGGGAATGCGCATAGAGCCTGAGAAAGATGATCTCACATTGGGGTTTTAGATTTTGTTGCGCCAACTAAGGCAAAGATAGACTGGCTCCTTCACACGTGCTTTATAGTTCTGCCCCCACACGAGCTGAGGTTTGTCTTCAGGCCACAAAAGAGATGGAAAGACAAATATTTTGAGTGAGGAGTAAATTTCAACTTCCAACTATTATTCTGCTACGGTCACATTTATCTGAACATTACTGTGTGAGCAATCCTACACTTCATCACAACATTGTCACACTAACGACAGCTTGTCCAACTTTATGAAACAAAAGCAGATATAACACTCGTCACTGTCAAGTCTAAAATCGGTTGAGTCGGCATCATTTAAGGTGTACAGCTTCCTGGTGAACACTCTCGGGCTAAAGTAAAGATGAATCTTTAGTGTGTCAGTCACTCTGACAGATGATCAGTCAGTCAGTATGTCAGGAGTCAGTCAGACAGGAGTAATTCTGACCTTATGGAAGCTGCCGTAGAAGAGTTTTTTGATTTCTGGCCCTTCGAAGGTGACCGTCTGGAACTCTCCTTTGTAGTCGTTGTTGAAGAACGTCAGAGTCTTTCCTCCATCTGCAGGAAGACGCACAAACTACATGTCAACAGCAACAACAACAACAACAGTGTGGATTGTTCTTTATTCTATATTGAACAAGAAACACTTTTGTCTCACAAAAAATCCATTTATTCATATTTTTTTTTCCCTTTGTGATTGGTATTGATTTCCTGATGGAACTCAGCAGCTTTCACCTGAATTGCTCCTGAATGGCAACACTGAGCGTCCCTTGTGTTTAGTACATTCACTTCATGATTGTGATGGATTTGTTATTACAGAAATAATAACTAAGAGAAACAAATGTGTTTTTATTGATTTTATTGGGTGAGACCCAGATGCTTTCACAGCAGAGAGGCCAGACTCACTGTCCAGGATGACTCCCACCAGAGGCTCGTTGTTCTTATTGAGGATCTCCCAGAGAGCAAAGGGCTCCTCTGGAGTGTCGGGCAGCAGTCTGAACAGCAGGGTGATGGTGTAGTCAGAGGGCAGCCCTTCAGGATGGATGTACCTGTGAGCCAGAAGGGACACATCAGACCCAGGGAAACACTTGGAAGTCTTTATATTTATGTATATATTTATATCTCTATTTATGACAGATCTGGATACCATCAATAATCAGCAGAGATATCACACTGTGTTAGTTCTAATTTAATAGGAGAGGAGATTTGTGAAAAATGACTATGAATGCAACTGTGTACCTTACTGTTAATTTCATTAACAAAAACTATGACCAAATCTGTTTCTCAACAACCTTTTTTCCACAACTAAGACGAGACAGCACTGACATCACTAACTGTGACTGTATCAACATGCAATATTCTTGAAAAACAGCAGGACTAAAATGAAGTTTCTTTTTATTTTTGTTGAAAGAAATAGATTTTTTTTTTCTGGTGTAGCAGTTTTGGTTCCTTTGCTGCGTGCACCATAACAGGACTACAGCCACAGCATACAATGTGCACAGTCAGCAGGGCTTGAGGTAACTTTCTTAAGTTAAAGGGTAACTTTAGTGTTTTTGAACCTCGACCCCTTTTCCCATATTTTTGTGCCTGAGTGACAATCATTTTTAGGTATTGGTCCAGTAGTGAGAGAGAGGGCTGCATCTGCAGCAGTGAAACCAGCTGCATGTAATCCCGACACTTTCTGTACTGCAACACAACAATGTCTTGCCGGCACTCCTGCCTCACTTCCCTTTCCACCTTTGTTTTTCCTGCAGCAAGTCATCTCTTCTAAAATGTCAGAACGAGACTTTTCCTTAAGCAAGACTTGGTCACAATGACAAACAGATCAGCAAAAAGTATAGAAAAACTTTCAGTTCTCCATAAAATCCTTTAAGTGACAATGATAGAAACTTGTAATAACAATCTGAGCCTGTCAGTGGCTTTTAGTGGACATAAATTGACGGTGCTCAATTGCCCACTGGATTACATTGCAGTCCATTTTGCCGCTCTGACTGGAGCCCTCTCACTCAGTACTGGACCAGTTTCAAACATTGTTGTCTCCATTAGTCACTTAAAAGGAAAAACATGAAAAAATAGGGTTCAGGTTAAAAAAATCCAAAGTTTCCCTTTAGAGTTAACAATGACAACATCAGGCTGTCTGGATGTATTCCTTAGATTGATATCATTAGACCACTAGATCAGATACTTTCTGCAAATCTGTATTTTTAAAAGGGCACTTCACTGATTTAATCCATCAGCACACCTTAAATTTTACTGTGACAACTTTGACCATTTCATTACTTTTTATTGTTTCTCTTGGGTGACATACACTTTTAGTAATGAGTGGATCTTCAAGCTTTTAAAAATATATATTAATTTCAACCGGATTATGTGAACTGCATGTATTGCCGAGTGTCGTTTCTGTGGGTTATGACAACACTAAACCCCTGAGCTTGCCTAAAAAAGGACTAAATGCACAAACCCGCTATTTTAGAATATCCATGGAGAGAGAATCTCACTGCAGCCTGTTTTATTTTGCTCTAAAAATGTCGGCGTGCAGCCTCGTTCTGTGGACGATAAATGAGGTGCAGACTTCCCTCTGTGTCATCAGTGATGAGGAAATACAGCGAGTACTGGATGGAGTAGTGAGTGACAACAACCACGCCCACATTTAAGGGCACTGTTTGCGGTGGAAAAGCTAGGGTCTAGGTACCATGTCTGAAGGTTTACTTTGGTTCCAAAAGTACCATACCAAAAGTGTTTGGTGGAAACTGAGCTAAAGAGTATAGAAGCAGATCAAGAGACAGACCTGCCCCTCTCTGTTTTATATACTGGGATATCTATCTATATCTATCAAGACTATGTTGCCGCACTGCCTATTTCTCGCTTACATGTTTAGAAACATATTTTAGTTCTGTGTTTAGCAGTAAGAGAGTTTGTGAACAGCCATAACATTTCCTGCACGGTAATAAATTCTGTTTTTGTTGCCTATTACTCGCCTCAAATGTTTTCAGAAATGTGTTTTAGCTTAATGTTTAAGTGTAAGAGACTGAGATGATTTCTTGCCAGCCGGCTGCCATTGTTTCAAACAGACATGTTCACATTACTCCACACTTACCAGCTGAGCATTTATTGGTATGTTGTGTCACTGTGAGTTCTGGTAGTTGTGGGTTTTCTACATCTTGAGCAAAAGTGTTCGCTTTCTCTGTTTTCTCTGGTTATATAGCACCACTTTGAAAAGTATGTGTGTCTTCCTACTACATAGACATCCTAGCTTTATTAAGAGGCCATGTCTCTGGTGGTGAAATACTCCTTTAATAATTCAACTTGTGGTAAGATAAAATTTTATGTGAAATCATTTTGACTTAAATGGCAATTTTTGGTTTGGCTCAACAAGATTGACTGTTATATTCATTGTAATCTGATGACAAAAAAAGACTGAAATGTCAACAGTTTTCATTCCCTAAAACTACACTAAAATACTTATGGTTTCATTTGACTAAGATGTTACTAAAATACCCAGTCTTTTAGTCAACTAAAACTAAAACTACAAAGAGGATGCGACTGACTAAATATAGCACCAAATAAAAACTTAAAAGGACAATTGAAACAGGTCAATAACAAAGATTAAATAAAAAAAAAATGCTGATAAAATGAACACTAGTGTACCTGGTTGGCTGTGCCAGAAAAGCGTCACTGTGCAGGTGGAAACAGGGGAAGGTATTAAAGGTGCCGGGTACCATAGAAACGCCGGACATGCTTCCATACCGATTTTCCATCAGCCCAAACAGCTCCATCATACGGAAACCTGATGACACATGGAAGGAATTTTAACTTGTTAACATCCCATAAAAGTAGAGCTACACCAGCTGATGATGATGATCGCTGCTGACAGTTTGGTGCATTCCACAACTGAGAAACTCACCACTGAACATAAACACAACATTAAATTTACAATTTCATGAAATTACATGTATTTCTCAAGGGCTGTTCCTGTGATTTTAATCCTATTGGAGTGCATGTGTGTGTGTGAGACAGAGAGATATTTCACCTCCTATCACAGCAATAATTATAGCACCTATTTTATTTAACAGCACTTTTTATATTGTACACTTATACCTGCAATGCCTACTGCAACTGCTGCACATGTTTCATACTGTATATATCCAGAGTGTTCAAGATTACCTTATTTGCCCCTGGGGAAATCTGTCTTGGACACAAAGGCTGCCACACAAAAATACATACGTAGTGCAGAAACAGACATAAAGTGCATAGCAAAGACAAGTGCAGGTATAAAGTGCATTCAAATACAATTCACATCTACCCATTACTGTTTTACTTATTACTTATAGAACCACTTGACAAAATACACTTCTGGTTAGATGCTAAGCAGCAATTCTTGTCCTTGCACTTTGTGCATGACAGAAAAACTGAGCATAGCGTTAGTTTAGTCAGGACACGATGTCAAGCTCAGCTTACATCCCAGCTACATCAGCTGATCTCAGCCCAATAAACTGATGGATCAGCTCGATTGATGGAATCAATTGATTGATTCCTTTCTATGCAACCAATTGGCAAATCTCATTCAGGGTGTCCTATTTAAAATGCTTTGGCCTGCCTACTGTTGCTGCTTCCTCTGCAAGCTGCTTTGCAACCCGCCTCCACCCCAGCTCCTCCTTTTCATGCTGTGTCTGACTTATCAGTGTCATTTCTGTTTGTCATTGATGCTGCTCTGGTCTGTTCCTACGGGGCTTTGCTGCTGCTCTCCCTTCCTTAGGCTTTCCATGTAGATGCATGGAGGGGCAGGGAGGTTTGTTTTGTCTGCCTCAGGCTTGCGACGTAGGTGCATGGAAGGGCAGAGAGGTGTGCTCTCTCTGTCTTAAGGCTTTCAATGTAAGTTATGTCAGGTAGGAAAAAGGCACCCTGGAGAAACGCCACACTGGTTAAAGAATACAAAAGAGTATGTAGACAAGCTGAACGCAGGTGGCAAAAAAACAAACTCCAGGTATATTACAACATTTATAAAGAGAGTCTTTACAACTATAACCAGGAACTGAAGAATGCAAGGCAATCATATTTTTCAGAGATTATCAATAGAAACAGTAATAATGCCCGCACACTTTTTTCTGTAGTGGACAGACTGACCAACCCCATAGCATCACTCCCTCCTGAACTACTGTCTAACAAGTCATGTAATGACTTTGCAGCCTTCTTCACAAACAAAATATTACAGATAAGACAGGCAGTGTGCAGCTCCAGCTCAGGAATGGTAACACTTGTGCCTTCCTGTCCTCCGGTTAATCTAGGACATTTTAGCCTCCTAGATTACACAACTCTAACAGAAACGGTTTCAAAATTAAAGCCCACAACATGCTGCCTTGATATTCTGCCTTCAAACTTTTTTAAAACCATTTTTAACGGCATAGCTCCAGATGTACTGCAGATAATAAATACTTCTCTTAAAGCAGGCCAGTTTCCCCAGGCCTTGAAAACTGCAGTAATAAAACCTCTCCTAAAAAACGCCACAACAATTAGTAACTATAGGCCAATATCAAATCTGCCATTGTTGGGGAAAATCATTGAAAGGGTTGTCTTCCAGCAAATCCATACTATTATGATGCAAAACAATCTTTTCAACACATTTCAGTCTGGATTTCGGCCACATCACAGCACTGAGACTGTACTTATCAAAGTCTTAAATGATATTCATCAGAATAATGATGCATGCAAATCCTCTGTCCTGGTATTACTAGATCTCAGTGCTGCATTTGATACAGTTGATCATAATATACTACTTAGCAAACTGGAAAAGTGGGTGGGACTCACCGGCACTGTGCTACAATGGTTCAAATCTTACTTACAAGATAGGGACTTTTTTGTGTCAATTGGTAACCATGAATCTGAGCGAACTACGATCACATGTGGGGTTCCTCAAGGGTCCATTCTCGGACCACTTCTATTCAACATCTATATGCTACCCCTAGCCCAGATTATGGAATATCACAACATCTCCTATCATACGTATGCCGACGACACACAACTCTATATCTCAGTGTCATCACACGACTGCAGTCCCTTACTCTCACTGAGTAACTGTATTCATCAAATCAATGACTGGATGTGCCAGAATTTTCTCCAGCTAAATCCAGAAAAGACAGAGGTATTAATTTTTGGCCCTAGAAATGAAAGGGCAAAGATCAGCGCCCACCTTGGCTCTCTGTCATTGACAGCTACAAATCAAGCCAGAAATTTTGGTGTTATTATTGACTCAGACCTGAACTTCAACAGCCATTTAAAGTTTATTACTAAATCTGCCTTTTACCACCTTAAAAATATAGCTAGAATTAAGGGGTTTCTGTCTAAACAAGACATGGAAAAACTTATTCATGCATTCATTTTTAGTAGGTTGGATTATTGCAATGGCTTATTTACAGGCCTTAACAAAAAATCAATCAGACAGCTGCAGCTGATTCAGAACGCTGCCGCCAGAGTCCTTACAAACACCAGGAAACTGGACCATATTACACCGGTCATTAAATCGCTACACTGGCTTCCTGTGAGTCAAAGAATAGATTTTAAAATCTGCCCTCAGATTTCCACGTAGGCATGTGGAAGAGGCTTTCTGCGTAAGTCTGGGAAAGGCAGAGAGGCCCTAGAACAGAGCCATACTGCCAAATATAATACTGCACATGGAAATAAAGTTTTCTTTGACTAATGTGGTCCTGACTGAAGTTGAATCTAATCTAAGTAACTGACTAACTTCTGTTTTCTGATGCTTCATAATTTGGTCATAATGACTCAATACAGATTCAATACTGCAATTTTCTGACATCTATTCCTTGTCTGACCGTCTAAGGAGATGGGTCCCTCCTCTGTTGCGGTGGTTTTTGAGGTTTTTTTCCCCATTTTTTTCCCTGCTGTTTTTAAACTGTTTTTTTCCTGAGGGTCTGAGAACAGAGGGAGTCACATGCTGTAAGACTGTAAAGCCCCCTGATGTGACTTTTTGATATTGGGACTTGGCTCTCCCACAATTTGGCATTGTTGTCATACAACAAAATGTCCCCAAGAGACATTTTAAAAGTGTGTCTGAGTTTTTAAGCACAAAGAATTTTGCAATTTCACTGCACTGCTGGGTTTCTGTGTGACTTGTGGCACCTTGTTAACATCAGCTTTCAGTCTTATTTATGAAATCAGACATGAAAACAGAAATAGAGAAAAGCAATTGGAGGAGCAAGATCTCACCAAATGGGCTGCTGTAGATAACTGTTTTATGCCTTTTCAAATCATCATAGTTGCACTACCTAACAATGAGTAAATAGATATTCTGCTTGTTGCTTGAAAATAAACAGCTGCAAAAAGAATATTACTTGCACATCCTCAGGGTAGAGAACATGTGCATACTGTTCTGCTTTTACAATGCGGAAACATGGAAAAGACCAGCACTGCAGTAGATTTATATGCAGGGGTTTGTCTTTGACTTTACTCTGTGCTACTCCCTTGTTCTCTATTTATATCAATACTTCAAAGCCTCATCTTTTACCTGGAGTTGTGCTGCCGCTCATCGGTACAGACGGACAAGCTGGGAGAGACAAAAAAATGTGTGTTGGATTAAGAAAACACATTCCTTCAGAGAGCCTTGAAATACAGCAGAATCATGTTAACACAGTCAACCACGTTCAATGTTTTATATAAAGAGCAAGCAAAACAGAAGTTGGAGCATCTTTAGCTTCTGTACTGTGACATACTGATGAAACAATATTTGACCACTGTACAGTTACAAAAGGGATTTAAATCAAATCCTTCACCTTGGACTGGACTGCTAAAAAGAGGGCAGGGCTTAGAGTTTAGTGCAATACAGAGCTACAGTGGACTGTTGGTTCCACAGACACCTCCATCATGTGGGGCACATTCAATCTGAAAATTATGTGCACAGGTTTGCTATGATTTCCAGGTTAAATGATCCTTTTCCTCAAAACAGTGTAAAAAGGCACGTAAATGGGCTTTGAGCTGTGTTGTCTTGTGGGCGGTGGGAGTGTCAGAGGTGTTACCAAATCAGAAGTGACATGTAAATAAACCCCACCTTGTTAAAAGGCAGTGTGCCTACATAACATGTAGCATGGGGGACTCTTCCAGTCTTCAACTAGAAACTGACAACCTCTGAATGTCTGATGAGCTGTGGTTACTCACTGGCAGTGGCAGCCTCACACACAAAGGTCACCAGCTTCTCTTCAATCTTCTTGAAGGCGTCCAGGTCGTCCACAAAGAAGACATGTCTGTCGCTGGGTTTACTGGCGATGCTCACCAGCTCCCCATAGTCAGCGTCAGCAAAGCCGATAGCAAATACAATGTACCCTTTACAGAAACACAGAGATGTGGCAACAAGCAGAGGAAGAATGAGGATGAGGACTCTAAAATTGAAAGAAAATATTTTACAAGCCAAAAATGATCTATCTGAATTAACATCAGATTTACATGAGTGCTACATTTTCTGTACTGCATGTGATATGCAGGTATATAAAACCTTTTTTGTAGAGAAGTGCATTACTTTCTGCTTGATTACACCACTGAAAAAAAAAAACGTTATTTTGAATGAATGAAAATGTAAGATATAGTCCTAAAAGGTGACCAACTGGACCAGCAAATTAAATTTAGTGCTGCTATTTCTTTCTGTTGATGCTTCATATGCAGTCATTTGAACAAAACCAACAAAACAAGCCTATTCTTCTTAAATCCTGAAATCCAAACTGGATATCTGGGACTTGTTATCATGTAAAAAATTAAAGTACACAGCTCTGACCTTCCATCTGCATCTCTTTGGACACCTTGTTGACGTCATCCTGAGATCGGCCATCGGTGAGGACCACAAGGACGTTGGGGATTCCCCTCCTGACTCCTCCCTCTACTGTGAAGATGTTTTCCTTCACATGCTGGATGGCTCGACCTGATTGGACAGATGATGCAAATCATTCTGCTAAATGTTGTGATCATACAATCATTTTGAAATTATTTCTGTACTTCAGAGTCCTAAAAACAGATGCGGGAGAAGGAACACATGCTTCCAGCAGCAGCAGCAGCAAACACTGATACTGCACTGTGTATTGATACAGGGTAGTATGGAAAAAATATTAAGGTAAATTAAAGTCTGTCTTTTAATACGTTGATTCTAAATCCCAGATCTGTTTACATGGACCCTGTTGTTCCACAAATGATGAGAATAATACTCAATCAGATTAAAATGCCTCATGTAATCATCTCAATCAGAAGGGACTGGTCTGATAGCAAGAACTTTTCAGTCAGGTTGAGAGGGGTGTTGTAAACCTAAACCTTATTACATTAAAAAGTAAAATATTACTGCCTAATAACTGTGTAAACCTGATTGTTTCTCACTGGGGGGAAAAAAAAAGGTGCCCACGTGGGGGAATTATTAGTGGACGTAGCTGGTGCGTGTGCTGCACACAACATGTTGCAATGGCTGTTTTACGTACCGCAACTGCAGATTCTGACAAATTTAAAAAAAATATTCAATGCTCTGCGAGTGCTTAAGTGAGTGCTGTAATCAATAAATTTCATGCACTACCTGTTGCAGTAGCCTGCATATGAGATGTTTAGGGAACAATGGTAAATTGTAGTATCTACTGACAGTCTGGATGTGAAGTGTTTAGGGGCATCTGTATTGGTTGCCACAGAAAATAACCTGGGTTACAACTTCCTCTGTTATATTTTTCTGGCAGATAAGACATTTCGCAGCACGTAGAACCACTGTGTGCCTGGATCGCTTTATATAGCGTCCATGTAAACAGTTCAGTTGGAATCTCTAATCAAAATGAATTCAATAGAATTAAAGAAATAATGCATGTAACTGCAGCTACTGAGGACGAGAGTGTGACGAGAAGGTTTTTAACTGCATTCTTAAGTTTTATTTATTAACTATTTCTAGAGTAATTTAGTTTGGTGATTGTCCTGTGCTGCTGCAACATAATACACGACATACAAAATAAAGAGAGAATTCAATGAGAATTCACACACTTCATGCACTTAACCTCCATAACAAATATCAGCCTCTGAAGGCAAAAACTACCCGGCCAAAGGTTGGGGATTTTTTTATTGGACTGACCAACCAACCTACTAAGTGCGAACTATAGAGCTGCTGGTTGCTACTAATAAATGATTACATAAGAGACACAGGACATAACAGATCAAATTGCTGTAAATGGAGAGGAGAAATGCTGTTTCACAGAAGACTTTTTTCCACTTTATTTCCCCTTATAATGGTGTTCTGAGACTGTAGGATTTTAATTAAGTACCAGTTAAATGGCTGCGTCTGAACTCCATGTCCCAGTAACCTTTACAAATACAAGATCTGTTTGTCCCCCATCTAACATCTATTGTTTACTTTGTGGAGACAATCAGAGCACTGACAACTGAAATTCAGGTTTCATACAAATTAATCATTAGATGCCACTACAAGACAATGACTTAACACAAAAATTGTAGCTACTATAGTGTGATGACAGACCATGATAATTGGTGCACAGCATGTTGATATAAATGAACATCGGAGTGGCTCAGCAGGGAAACCACAGGCCCAGCAGCCACAGTCTGAATTTTTATTAAAGGATGACAGAATGAATGAAGAGAATCGGTCTTGTGTGTTTTGTCCAAGAACAGTTAGGAGCCATTCTGCAGCAGTCAGGGACCAATTCCACATCTAAGACCACTAAAGTACTATGGCACGGCACTTTAGGGCTGTATCAAGAAATGAGAAGACACCTGGGATCCCAGACTTATTTAAAAATCCAATTAAACTGCCTTTATCTGACTAATACATTGGAATGAGAACTGATATAGCGTATGCTGGCGTGGTTTGGTTGGCAAATAAAATCTGCTATTCCTGGAAACATTATAATAGCCTAACTAACAGCTTTCGTTAAAAAAAAAAAAAGAACATTTTTGGAACTGAAGCAATGGGTCAGGGTAAGACACACAGTCAAGTCAAACTGGACTGAACCAATCAGCCTATGTGCTGCCTGGAGCAATCGAAAGCACCACAGTGTACCAGTAAAAGCTATGAACAAGTGTCTTCACCATATTGTGATCTGCAGTAACACTGTGCAGGACTGATTGCTCTACAAAGTCTGGAGAGGCAGCCGGTATAATGCTTAACTTTAGTAGTGCAAAAAGTCCGGTCAGCCTGGGCTGCCTACAGAGAGTGGACTTTTTCACAGCATTTTCAGAGGACATGTAGCTAGCATATCGTGAGGGGATGTTTGCTGTATGTGACAAAAACTTTTCAAGCTTAGGAAGACTTAGAGAGCCTTTAAGAGCAGTGCTCCACCAGGCGGCTGAGCAAAGTCACTTCAGCTTGTTTATTTCTGTCTGAAAAAGGAGTTAGACAAGTCACAAAGGTGTCCCATCATTACAGCGTATGCAGCATTTCAATAACAGTACACTCAAAGTCAAGTCATTAGCTCCCCTTCACGGAACTAAACAAAATTTGGTATGTAAGTTAAGATGTTAGTTATGATGTGTCCACTGAGTTTCATCAGAATTGCCCAAAGGAAACTTGAGTTATGGCCTATTTCCTGCCAAGCCTCATCCTGAACAAGGTTGCTTCATTGATGAACGCCATGTTTTTTGACTCATCTTGCTCATTTATAATAGAAAGTTGTATATTTCTCCAAAGATGTTGTATAATATGTTTAGTGTTAATAAACTCAAAATTCATCAAGATCTGTTAATTTGATAAGACTAATTCAGCTGGACTTGTGTGTCATATTTCCAATCATTTGGGCTTATGGTGTGAGGGGCAATAATGCCTTAATTACAGTGCCACCATGTGACAGTTTGGTGGAATTTTTGTAGGCATGTTCGTAACACCACTTCAGATGTCTCCAGAGAATTTCATTAGGACTGTCAAATCAAGTCATCTGGAGTTATGAGTTAAAATTTAATAGGCCATGCACACTTTCATCAATAAATACAGCACTTGATTCTTTCGTTAATAGTTGGCCCAAGAGCTTGTATACTAAATTTGGTGAAATTCTGACCACTGTTTTTTGAGGAACACATATTTTGATATTTTTGTCGGCCTCTTTGGGTCTGTGATGTTTTTGTTTTTTTTTCTTTTTCTGTGTTTTTCTATTGAAAGGTTTTTCACCTGATGACTAATGAAGTTATTGAAACTCATGGAACTATCGCACTAAACTGCTGAACTTGCAAAAAATGGAAAAAAAGTAAAAGTTGTTTGGTCTTTGAGTGAAATCCAGTTAAGTTCAAATCAATGTAGCAAACTCTCTCAATCAGGGAAGCTGCATATATTCTTAAGACATATACATACGCCAGCATTACACTGTGTAGATGTCTGTGGTGTAGAAACAAAAAAATAATGAAAAATTATCAAGATTTTACTCGAGTCACTCATGAGGTAAAAGGAACAGATTGAACTCTCTGTATCTCAGCTTGTCCAGATGGCAAGTTTTGTTGCTTTCTTCTGTTTTATATCATTTTATTTATTCAGTATTATGTATGTATGTATAGTAAAATGGTCAGCTTCACAAAATTATAATTGGTTGCTTCATTTTAAAACAGCAGCCTATGTATGTATTGATCACAGGGGTTTTCTTCAGGATGAGATGTTTTATGCAGGACAGACCACAGAGCTGCTGCAGGGTTAATACATTTTAATAAAGAAGTCAAGTAGCACCAGGTCTGTCAGACAGATCCAGTAATCAAATACCCTTCAGGCCTGTGGGAACACTGGGAAACAGATTTTTAATTGCACTGTGCAGAACGAAGCGATTGAGTGCTCTTAAATGCCCCAAACTGCTGCTTCCTGACAGAAAAGGAGGATTAGTGTTTTACAGTGTGACATTAGCAGTGGGAGAATTTCTCCACAGCAGTGACACTGTTACAAATCTCTGCAGTCCCGTCGCTGCAGGAGAAAGTGACTGCGCTGCTTTGTAAACACTGATTAATGACTACACCTCTCCCTGTTTCCCCACAGACTTCCTCTCATTACACACACACACACACACACACACACACACACACACACACTCAAGAAATATAGGCTGCTGTGCATCTTATACACGTACAAGATTGTCGGCATTAATGCAAACGTGTGATCACATTCCTATGTAAACTTGTTTTACATGAATGTATGCATGAAGATGTGTTCACAAGGGCAAGAACATGCAAATGTTTGACTTGCAGACACAAATGCAAACACACATTTTCTCACACATTTAATTTTCTGTGTGTGGTTGCCTGCTGCTCAATAACTATTGATAATAGGTGGTGTGTGTGTGTGTGTGTGTGTGTGTGTGTGTGTGTGTGTGTGTGCGTGTGTGTCTGTGTCTCATATGGTGTCTTTCTTGAATTTAGATAGGGCTGCCCTCTTATTGACAGTTAATCGACCAGAAAGGTCATTAGTCAGCAATATTTAATTGGTCGCTTAGTTGCAGAAGAAACAAACATGAAAGCTTGTGAGGACCTGCCTCTTGTCAAAAAAAAAATTGAATCCTATATGACTGAACCATGCGGGAATTTAATTTGAAAGGACAGACAGAGGAAGCGGCCACGCTCAGCAGTCAGCAGTCACGTTAATCAATCACAGCTGACAGGTATCTTTCCCTTCTTCTGGAAATATTCAGTCTGATAAATATGGAAAAGTTGATCATTTTAGTGCAGGGCTACCCAGAACTCAGGATTTCAGGTAAATAGGCCATATGATGCTTGTTAAGGTTGCTTAGCAACCTCAGCTGCAACCTGCCTTGGGCTCCTGAAAGCTCGCACAAAAAAGGCACAAGAGTAGCACCTAGCGCCTGACCTCAATTTTTCAGGCAGTTGAAGATGCAGCATGTGTACGGCCCCTAGTAGTCCCTAGTTAATAACCAAAATCCAAAGTGTGGGATCATTTTGAGAAGGTGAAGGACAAACCCAAGGTGATATGTAAACTCATCTTCATTCGTCGACTACAAACATGACATATCATCTGAAACACTGAAGTAGCTACATGCCCATTAGCCACTTAGCACAATCATTACTGCTTTGCCGACAGCATCATTAACAGGTGTCTCACTCAGTGTGTGACGTGCACTTGTAGATAAAATATAGGCCTATATTAATGAAGGTTCATTAGTACGGTTTTGTATTTCTCTGTAATGTAGCACAGTGTTAACAATGTAACTTATACTATTCTTTCACAAACCTTGAACTCAAACCGCTGTGTTGCCCCGCCCAAATTATATAATTTGATAATTAAATTAATATCGTAAACATGCCGGAGACTAATGGCCCTAAATGACGACTATTGGTTGACTGGGAAAATTCTTAGTGGGGGACAGCCCTAGATTTAGAGATGATTTCTTTTGGGTAAAAATCTGGATTTTATCTGCTGCAGCCACTGAACCAGATTCAGCCACCATTCAATAACTCACAAGTATTTCTACAACAGAAGCAGGTCACATTCCTGCTCATTTTGCTGTGTCTCCCTGCGGTGCACTCACCTGTCTTTGTGTTTCCTCCCTTGTAGGAGATCTTGTTGATGGCGTCCAGCAGTCGCTCTTTATCACTGTACGAGTTCAGTTTGAACTCAGTCCGGGCATCGTCACTGAACTGGGCGATGGCAACCTGTCAGACAATGCAATAAAATAACTATTAAACAACAAGAAAGTGCAAAGTCTTACAGTGAGTTTTGTTTAAAGGGTCACGACTTTAAAAAGAGACCCTAGTTTGATCTAACCAAGCAGATGCCTTTCATTTTGCATGCTATGGTCTTTCCATGTTTCTGCTGCCATGGACACACTCCTGTTTTTCAAAGTAATTTTTCAATGCATTAAGACATCAAATGTGATTTAGGGCTGGGCGTATTGCCCAGCCCTAAATCACATTTGATGCTACTATCCATATTATATTAATATAATGATTGGAGACTAGGTACTGTTCTTAGATTTTGGATATTCTAACATCGTAAAACTGTTGAGTAAAGTGATGTAATTTTTTGAACTTACCAAACTGCTCTAGCTGTTTACCTTTTTCTACTTAGTCATTATGTCCACATCACAAATGATTATGTATCTCATTGTGTGAATATTTTGTGAAAGCACCAATAGTCAACCCTGCAATTTTGTTGCAAGGTATTATTGTAACATTTCATTTCTTCTTATCAACCAGCTCTGCTTCCATTGTATTGAGGTCAGGGGAGAAATTTGAAATATTCATTTAAAAAATCTGAACTAACCTTTAAGAGTAGTCCACATCTATAAAGAGCCTTTAGGCCTGTTTATACCTGATTTTAACATGCGTCTTTGGCTATCGAATCACAAGTGAACAATGCTAATTACAAGTGTAAACGACCCCCAAGAAACATTGTAATGCAATCACTCAAACCACCTGCAGAGATACCCAACATGTACAAGGTTATCACTGCAGGATGTGGTGGTTGTTTCAGAGACAGTGCGCTCACCCTGTATAACTTCACCATTTTATGAAAAGTTGGATGAAAAGTTAGGTGCCTGACCTATCCAGTGAGCATGTTAGCAAGAACGAAATCTGAACACAAACGGTCAGCTAGAGACACATGATAGACACAGTTGTGAATGGCGATGTGTTTTGGCTGTCCACTTGTGTTTGAATCCCTAAAATGCATGTTAATACCAGGCGTAAACAGGCTTCTAATGAAGCAAGAACTTCCAGGTTCTGTTACATAAGTAAGAATAATAAATTGGGTTCCCACTGACATTTGCTATTAGGGATGGGCAGCACAAGCAAAAACACTATTCGAAAATCATGGCAACTATTCGACAATTTTTCGAAGCCACGCACACAGAGATCCATTCATCTTTAAAGGCCCGAACATACTTGGGCGGAACGAGGTCTGCGCGGGGACTCAAAGCGGACGTCCACAAGCCCTGTGCACACGAAGCTCACATTTTACGACCGCGCGCACTGGTGACTGCTCGGCATGTATTTTTCACATCGTGGGGATTTTTGACGGAAACTACTACACGGAAGTGCGCTCGACTATGAAACCCGAATGACTGCGGTCATTCCTCGCGGAGTAGTAGTCTCTGCATGTTTCTCCTGTTTGTAGAAGAGCATCAAACTAGCTGGTAGCCCATCTCACACCGCTGTAGCAATCCTATACTGCCCTCGTGCGGTTAGGAGCTGAATTGCATGTCAAATAAAGGAGGGGAAATAAGACGGCGAATAGTAATTAAAAAATCGATTTTTCAAAAATAAAACGACTATTCGAAATTCGAAAATCGTGACCCATCCCTATTTGCTATAATGCTAAAAGTAAAAATGCCACCTTGGAACCAACACATTCTCACTCCATTCTTGTGCTACATCGATGTTTAGTCATGGACTTTCCACGTGCAGATAAGACATGCAAGGTACCCTGGGTGCATTGGCTGTTGACTTTCTGGGAGGTCAAGTTCTGCCTGTTACATGCATTGCCTTCTTTCAAAATACACTTGTGTTTTCACATGAAATTTACCATTTACATACAGTCTCTTTCAAAACACTATGCTGATACACTGCAATTTGATATTTTTTTCCTTAAACTACTAACCCACATGGTTGGGTTTTGGCAACAAAACCACAAGTCTGAGTTTAGGAAAAAAGAACAATCTTACTGGATGTGAACACCGCTCTCCTGGGTGAAAGTCTGTGTTTGTTGGACCCAATCAACACCCCTCCCGCCCACCCCACTTGGACTTTGCCACCTTAACTTTCATTCTTGTCCTGCTGTGTTTACCCCTGATGCTGCCGGGTGCCGTTCAACTATAATGGCGACCGCCCACGTATCATGCCAACAGTGTCTGATGAAAGAAGTCACTGACTAAGTGCCGGATTTGACGACTACGGGTGAGACTTGGTTGTTGGAAAAGAGCCTTTCTTTAACAGTGCGTTGTATGATTCACTTATGTTGAGATAAGGAGAATATTTTTTCCAAAAAAAGCAATCAACCAACATAACTTCTCATGAGCCTTCCTGGACCATCAAAGGTCAAATGTCAGATATCAACAAAAGACATGAGTCAATCTAAGACATGACTGTAATAACAGCATACCGAGGGGACTGATTAGTGAAGACAGCAGATATTACAACTACAAAATAGGAAGAATTACTTCATAAAAATTGTGCTGGTGGATATTTTAGACATGGACGAAGCCTAGGTATGATGATGTACTGTAGGTACCTGCCCTGGTAAATTAAGCATGTAGGAAGTATATCCAGGAACAGGCTTCACTTAGTCAAAAAGATGAATAAATGAGAGATTGCTTTACGTTACTGAAACCAGTGGAACAGAGGCGAGCCTGAATGTGATGCTAGCACTTTGTTTTTACTTTCCCCCATCTGCAGAAAATCAGAGAACTTCACCTGTGTGCTGCAGAAGAACAGCACAGCCTTGTTTCCTTTCTGTGCTTGTGGTGTGGTTGTGATTGATACAAATCATGTAGTGCTTTAAACAAATGTTTAAGCATTAATAGGCGGTCCACTAACTGAATTTGGTCCTGGTGTTGTGACTGAACTGAACTTGGATTAGTGGAGAGAAAAAGGCAAACAATGACAACATACATAAACCAAAAACATGGCAGGAACTGAGGAGAGCACCACGATCCAGAGAATATAAATGAGCTGTTTCTTCAGTGAACTGGGCCGTGGCCACCTGGGAGACCACACAGGAATAATCTTTATTTGTACTAACAAAACACATAAATGAGAGCAGCTTAGTGAAGCTTATTTCAAGTATTCAGCTGCTGTAGCACAAGAATCTGAACACAGAACTGAGCAGGGTTTGGGCCACTTGGGAGACACTAGGGGAAAATGGTTATATGTAAATGACTGACACAGAGTACAATGACTGTCAGCATTTCACAGTTTGTTATCTTGTACTAGTTTGTCCTAAAAATGTCTTGTTCTGGGGTTCTGCTGAGTTTAGTGCTGTTTCACAAGAGTGCAAGGCTGTATTTAGAGCTGAAGTTAGTTTGAAGGGAGAGGTAAAATTTCATTAAAAAATCAACATTGAATTAAAGCATTTGCAATTTTAATAACAAAATTAACAGCTGGCTTATAAAGCTCCTCGTACATGCTGGCTGCTGTGGCTAAAAAAAATGCTGAAAATGGTGAAAATAACCTTTAATTTGTCCTGATTCCCTTGATTGGGCTGCAGGTACCGCCTCATGCTACCAGTAGTGACAAGGACACTAGCAGAACACCAAACTAGAGAAGAATCAGTCAGGGAGGATAAGGGACGAGCAACTGTCTGTGGCCACCACATGTAAAACCATTCTCTTTTTGGGGGTTGTTTTGCTTTTTGATTGGCACCAAAGCACTTGTGACCATTAAGTGTTCCCTTCATTTTCTTGAGCAGTGTATTTTTTTCAAACGTATTTTCCATTTAACTCTGTCTTGGTAATGAATTACAAACTAAAACACAAATAAGCTGTATATATGAAAACAAGCTTGAAAAAAATAAAGTGTATAAAAAAAAGGCTGACAAGTTAATCAATAACAAATTTCTTTATCGATTATGTTACTTGTTTTCAGTTATTTGGTAATTTAAATCCTACTCACCACTGCCATAATCACAGTGAAATGATGGGTTTATTTGTGTTTGCTGAGATAAATATATAATGAAAATCACAAGAATCCATTTAATTCATGTATAGATCAAATACATGAGTTTTGTTTTGGATAGGTCCATCTACTATTTTAGATAGGTGGTTGTGCCTTCAACAACTTCATCAGGAAGATATTGTTTAACACAGGAGTGGTGTGTGCAGAGTGAGTCAGTGCGAACACCAGTTTTTCAGTTCTCAGAGGATTACCACTGATGCTCTCTTTCTTTGCTCCTTCTCTGCTGCCACAGCAGTACATGACAAGTCACCAAAATACAGGACAGGGAAAAGCATGAAAAGGTAACTGTGCCTCAGGAAAACACCATTTAACTGGCAAAGTGCAGCTTTTGCTCCCCAAAGAAAGCAGAGCTCCAGGTCTCCATCTCTAGTTCAGTGGCTTTTTCTTTCCTTTCTTGTGCTTTTACTGCACTGTGACTTCCTGTCAATGACCTGTCAATCAAACAGTGTGGCTAGAGCTACTATACCAGACAAAAAGTGTTTAGAATGACAGGAGTCAAGGTTTTCATGGACTACAAATAGTTCTCAGTTTGAGTAACACTGAAGAGTGAAAGAAAAACCAGCAATAACAACGTCCGTGAAGGCAACCTGTGTGTCCTACCTGTGTGCCATCCGGGCCGATCTGGTCCAGAGCTCCGGATGTGCTGTACAGGAAGCGGATGATCTTCAGGAAATTGTCATCACCAATACTCCAGGAACCATCAACCAGGAAGACCAGGTCTGCTTTAGCTGCCTTACAGACTGGACAAAGACAGAGAGGCGGGGGAAGTTCACATTTGTTCTCTTTCTGTTATTGAGGAGGACAAAACAATTACAAGAAGAAATAAGAGACGGAGTAAACAAAATAAACAGGTGGAAATAGAGGACAATGATTGAGACAGATACATGTTATGATTTCCAGATTTCCATCCATCCATTTTCATCCAGGGCTGGGTCGCGGGGGCAGGAGGTCGAGCAAAGCGCCCCAGACGTCCCTCTCCCCAGCACGCATTCTCCTTCTGGGGGACCCCAAGGCGTTCCCAGGCCAGATATGTAATCCCTGCAGCGTGTTCTGGGTCTGCCCCAGGGCCTCCTATCAGTTGCACATGCCTGGAGGCGCCCAGGAGGCATCCTGATCAGATGCCTGAACCACCTCAACTGACCTCTTTCGACGCGAAGGAGCAGCAGCTCTACTCTCAGCTCCCTCCGGATCTCTGAGCTCCTCACCCTATCTTTAAGGCTGAGCCCAGACACCCCACGGAGGAAGCTCATTTTGGCCGCTTGTTTCTGCAATCTTGTTCTCTTTTGGTCACTACCCAGAGCTTGTGACAATAGGTGAGGGTTGGGACATAGATGGACCAGTAAATCAAGAGCTTCGTCTTAGCTTAGCTTAGCTCCCTCTTCACCACGGTGGTCCCGTGCAGCGCCCTCATCACTGCAGACGCTGCACCAAATGCTGGTCCATCTCACGCTGCATTCTACCCTCACTTATGAACAAGACCCTGAGATACTTAAAAACAATCAAAGTCATATTTCTTGCCAGCCTTTTACCACAATACTTTACTGAAGGTTTTCTGATGCTGATATTGTTTAGGGTAGATGCTCATATGACTGCCACCTTATATATTTGATTGTTAAGAATTCAAGAGGCAACAGGGTTTTCCACCTATTCATTTATTGGTGGCTGGCTGCCATGATTTGAGCATTTAATGAACATTTTGATTTCCTTTTTTTTTATTCTTTGCTACACATTCTTGTAGCGCAGAGCGTTCTCTGGGCACAGGTGGAGCAGCAAAATGGCAGGCGCAGGGAAAGTGAAACTTAACCATTTATTGCGCTGGGTCTAAAAGTTTGCATTCACTCATAAACAACGGCTTCTCTCAGCCATTGATCTGGTCTGATCAGCTGTGATCGGATCAACACATCAATTATCCAGCCCATGACTCAAAATTCCACAAACTGCGGTGTTGGTGGCTTAGTGGGTAGAGCAGTCGCCCCATGTACAAGGCTGTTGCTGCAGCGGCCCGGGTTCAACTCCAGCCTGTAGCCCTTTGCTGCATGTCGCTCCCTCTCTCTCTCCCCCTTCATGCTTGTCTGTCCTATCAAATAAAGGCAAAAAAATGCCCCCCCAAAAAATCTTAAAAAACAAAACAAAACAAAACAAAAAAAAAAACTCCACAAACTGCTGAGAAAAAGTAAGAAGAGCTCCATCTGTGCTGTGTTCACAGACCCACAAAAACTCAGAATTAAGAAAGGGGACACAGGCTGTTTGTTTTCTATTTGCTCAACTTTCTTTTGTTTGCTTTGCTGGTGCATGACTTAAATCGGCTCCAACCTTTGAAAAATGTATCCATTTATTTCTCAGCTATTTGATTTGTGTTTTTATCACCGTTCAAATAAACAAACTCTGGCTTGATTTTGATGGATGACAACTCAGGACTGAAAAGAAAAGCAGCTTCTGAGTGAAGTAAACCTTTGATTGATTTGATTTGAGGTCTCAAATTGTAAAGATTGAAAATGTGTTAAATTAATTAAAAGTTGCCTCCGTCGCTGTCCACCAATCATTCCAGTCACTTCCTTTTCCCCTCTAATAAATCACATTAAAGGGTCAGCTGCTGCCGGACTGAACTGCAGACGGCTTCAATCCATCTGCATCCATCTCTATTGTTTCACAATAAAATTGCACCCTGTGACTCACATTGATCGGGTTTTCTGAAGGTAGAAGTGCCGAGAAGCTCAGTGAGAAAGTTTATGTGTGGGGGGCATAAGCACAAACAGCGAGCAGCAGCAACCCCCCGTCCAACACCGGCACACCATGAAAACGGAAACAGAGGGCTCAGCGGGGATGAAACACCTGCTGCTGCAAGCGAACACGCCGTCTGCAGTCATTTTGACTTGACCAAAGAACTACAAGCCAATTGGCTTTTGAAACAGGTGACATGCTCTAGTTCTAAAACCAGCTGCCAGTAATTTGAGCAGTTGAGTTGCAGGTAACATCATCAGCCGGCTTGAGTCGAGCTCAGACCGGCCAGTTTTACACCGCTTTAGTGTTGTTTGTGTATTTCTTAGCTCTGTTAAGCAAGACAGTAGCTATTATCAGTTATGATTGTTCACAGTTGTTAAATATCTGTGAACATTGTATAGTCCGCAAGTTGGTACAACTTTTCTCAGTACCCTATAGACTCTCGGACTAGCCACCATATCAGCGTAGCTGTGCCTGTGGCAGAGGGAGAGGAAGCAAAAGCGAGGGAAGTGGGCACGCCTGCGGGCTGAGCTTAAGGCTAACCCATACAAACCAGCCCTACCAAGCCTCTTCCTTGCGAACACAAGGTCACCCGTCAATAAGCTGGACGAGATCAGAGCGAGAATGATGCCTTACTGTGTCACTATCATCAAGGAGTCCTGGCTCAATGAAAACCTAACAGACACAGCATCCAGCTAGTGGGCCTCTCTGCTTACAGACCGGACGAGAGACTCTGGTAAGAGCCGTGGGGGAGGACTGTATATCTTCGTGAACAATAAATGGTGCACAGCTGTGGACATGGTGGAGAGACACTGCTGCCCTGACCTGGACCTCCTGGTGGTAAAGTGCAGAACTTTCTTTTTGCCAAGGGAATTAACAAACATAACAACCATGGCAGTTTACATCCCCCCGCAAGCTAAAGCTAAGTTAGCTCTGGAGAGGCATGACGGTGCCAGTAAATAGCTTACCCGGACAGTGTAGTCAATGTAGCAAGGGATTTTGGTCATGTAGACTTTAAACTGGTCATACCTAAATTCTACAAGAATGTGACATTTACGACAGTATACTCGACCAAGTATACACCAATATTTCAGGGGCATTCAAGGCAATCCCGTCAGCATAAGTAGGTCAGTCAGACCACATTTATCTCCTCCTGATCACGGATCTGCAGAGTTAACCTAACCATCAAAACAGTGCAGGTATGGATGTCATAATGCCACATTGCCCGATGCCCTAAACCAGTTCTTCGCCCTCTTTGAAACCCAGAGGGAGGAGGTGGATCCACCCTTCACCTCAGCTGACAGTGAGCCAGTGCTGGTCCTCTAGCAACATCAGGTGAGGACTGTCCTGAGGGGAGTCAACGGGAGCAAGGCAGCTGGCCCGGATGGAGTATCCGGGCGAGTATTATTGGTTTGTGCTGACCAGCTTAAAGGAGTGTTAACCAACATATTTAACCTGTTATTACAATAACCTGCTGTCCCATCATGCCTTAAAACTTCCATGATTATCCCAGTGCCCAAAAAAAACCTGTTGTGATGTGCCTAAATGACTACCATCCTGTAGCACTAACACCTATCATCATGAAGTGCTTTGAGATGCTGGTGCTCTCACACATTAAGACTGTAATTCCACATGATCTGGATAAACACCAGTTTGCATAAAGGACTAACCACACCACAGAGGATGCCATCACAACAGCCCTCCATCTTGCCCTGACACACCTGGAGAAACCAAACACCTATGTGAGGATGTTGTTCTGCATTTAATATGGTCATCCCTCACAAGCTGGTCACAAAACTGTACAATCTGGGCACCAGTTCTTCCCTGTGTTCTTGGCTCATGTACTTCCTCACGGACACCACCAGAGCAAGTTAGAGTGGACAAGCACATCTCCTCCACCCTTACTCTCAGAACTGGTACCCCCAGGGCTGTGTGCTAAGGCCAGTGCTCTTTACACTGTTCACCAAAATCAAATTTGTTGATGACACGACCATAGTGGGCCTGTTCTCTGAAGAGAATGAGATGGCCTACAGGCGTGAGGTGGACCATCTCACTTGTTGGTGTGGAGACAATAACCTGTTCCTCAACACCTCCAAACCCAAGGAGATGGTTATTGACCTCCGGAGGACCAAGATCAGAGCTCACGCCCCCCTCCACATACATGGGGAGATAGTGGAGGTGGAAAAGTGATGTTCCTGGGAGTCATACTGTCAAACCAGCTGACAAGGACCAACAACACTTCACAGCTGGTCAAAAAAAGCTCAGCAGAGACTCTGAATCCTGAGGAAACTACCTCAAAAACTTCTTCTCAACTTCTACAGTAGCACTGTTGAGTCCATCCTGACCAGCTGCTCCGCAGTGTGGTATGCCAACTGCACAGCTGCAGAATGTCACAGCCTCCATCGTATGGTAAAGGCGGCATGGCGCATCATCAGGTTGAAGCTCCATGGACTGGACATTATTTACACCAACAAACTCAAAAAGAAAGCCCATTAAGCCCAGAATGAAAAACAGCTTCCATCCCAGAGCTGTGGCCTCCATTGCTACACTACAATACACAGGGTTAAACATGCACTATCACTGCCGCGGCTATTATTTTACTATTTTATTTTAAAGTTGTGACACTTTTAATTGCTGCTGCTCTTAACTTTTGTGTGTGTTTTGGTGTATTTCTAATTGTTCTTACACCAAGGAAGTCAAATAGAATTTCATTCATTCCTTTGTTGCTTGTCATCCACCCTCTCTCTTCTACCTTTCCTGTCAATTTACTGTGGTCCTATAAATAAGGCAAAATCGCCCCCAGTTCTGAGAGTAAGGGTGGAGGAGATGTGCTTGCCCACTCTAACTTGCTCTGGTGGTGTCTGTGAGGAAGTACATGAGCCAAGAACACAGGGAAGAACTGGTGCCCAGACTGTACAGTTTTGTGACCAGCTTGTGAGGGATGACCATATTAAATGCAGAACAACATCCTCACATTTATAAAAAAAGGAAATGTTTTTGCCTGTTGTAGTATTTTGCCCTTGTGTCACTGTTGTTTTATTCTGTACTATAAACATATACTCATGAAGGTTTTGAAAAGAACTTTACTTATAAACAAGTCCAAATTTTAAGTGGAAGGACTTCATGTCCAAAAAGTTCTATAGGTCCGTTTCCACTGCAGGAACTTCGGGGTTAGTCAGTTAGCGGTGTCTGTAATAACTCCGGTCACGGTCCGTGAATTTTTTTTTTTTTTTCCAGCGGATATCTTAGTTACAACATGATTGAGCTAGCAAAGCAGTTTTGTGTTGCTATGTGTGGTATTTATTCAGTTTTGGGAAATCACGATGTCTAGAAAGCATCAACTGAGGCAACATGCAACTAAATCTCACGGTGGTTGAGAGGGCCGAGCGAGAGGACGTTCCTGTAGTAGTTCCTGCCCCCCAAACCCAAATAGTACCAGGAACTTCTTCAGTGGAAACGGGCCTTATGTGTTACTATCAAATTCTGTCTATTTTTTTTTTTACAGTGAACATGCATGTAGGTTGAGTAAAAAGCAGTGTTCTCTCTCGGTCTCTCTTTCTGGGCCTGACAGCTTCAACTTAAAACCAAAGTGTCTTATGAACATGATGCTTTAATCATGTGGGGAAAAAAAGGAGAAAAAAAAACTTCTCTTACTCTGTGATTGAAAATAGCAAATTTAAATATAAAGATTAGATAAGACTTGCACTGTACATGCTGGTTCCTGTACTTCAGCTGATTATGCAGTCTTTTAAGAATGTTGTGGTGACAGATATGTGAAGAATGTGAATTACATGTTTGTGGAGATGCTGTAACAGATCTAGCAATCACCAGGTTTACACTTCAGACATTTATTTTAAATTACCCTCCTGTTGAAGATTTATCTCTGTAATTCTATGTTATCTTTCTGTGATATATATATATATATATATATATATATATATATCTTTGAGCCTGTCTTTATATACCATAATTAAGTGTGTGTGTGTGTGTGTGTGTGGTTAAGACCCATCACTGTGTGGGAGGAGAGCAGTCAAAGCTTATTTACTCTGCTTGTACGGTGTCAGTGCTGACTGACACTAAACTGTTGTCCTCACACATGCACAAACCTCAAACTCTTCAACAAGTAACTTGTCACACTGTGATGTATTTCACATGAAATGTGGGCAGTCAGTGAACTAAACTTTTCTCTGTCAGAGAGAAAAAGTCGCTATAATTACATCAGGAGAAAAAAAAAGGAAAATTGAAGAGATAATTTAGAGAGCAAACACTCAGAGAGTTTTGTTCAGAGAAACTTTTCTGTTAATTATTGCTGACCAAAACTTGCATTTATTTTCTAACATGCAGGATTTATATTGGGCAGATAGATTATTGGTCAATAATGACAAATTATTGCTGATAAATAATGGCAATAATACAAAGCCAAATTGCTTACATAGACTTAACAGATGCAGCATCAACACCACCAATAAACACAGAGAAGGAGAAGAGCAAGCGCAGCATACTAACTAGAGAGCAGGTTGGGGATAGGTTTATTGATGACTCTAAATTGTCTGTAGGTGTGAATGTGAGTGTGAATGGCTGTCTGTCTCTATGTGTCAGCCCTGCGATAGTGTGGCGACCCATCCAGGGCGTACCCTGCCTCTCGCCCGATGTCAGCTGGGATAGGCTCCAGCCCCCCTGCAACCCTCAAGGGGATAAACAGTTACGAAAATGGATGGATGAATGGATAATAATAATAATAATAATAATAATAATAATGATAATAATACATTATACTTATAAAGCGCTTTTCAGGGCACTCAAAGTTTAAAATTCAGGGACAAAACAACAACAACAAATAACAAGAAACAAAAAAACAAACCCATTAATTACTGGTAGATAACATTAGCTGCGTGATGCTAATAGTTAGCCCATGAGTGTGTGTTCAGGCAGACTGCAGGGTGCGCTACTGTCTCATGACAAACAGAGAGAGAAACTCTACAATAAAAACAGAATTAACAAATTTCAAATAGTAAAAAAAAACAACTAAAGTAAAATAAAGTTTTCCAAAGAATCGCTACAATATGTTATCATGATTAAACTGGTGATTTACACCCCTATTTAATTCTGTTACACCAAAACTTAAAACTCCAATTTAAAATGTGATCCAGTTATAACTTTAAACCTACACAGGAGGTTTCTCAGAGAAAGTTAAGGACTGAAGGACTGAACCCAACAGAGTTCCGTGATGCTGCTAAATTTCTCTAATGATAGTGGTTCAGCAGGCAAACTTTTATGGAGCCAAACAGAATAACTGGAGTAACTGTCAAACATGGCAGAGCAAGTTTAAAGTGTCTGCCATTTGCTGCCAGGCAGTCTCTTTTTTCTTCACTGTGCTGTTGTGCATTTTTAAAATGTTCTACTATTTGCAAAATTGCAGTTAAATTAGCCAACCAGGTCACGACAGCAAGGAAATGTATTTATTCATGTTTTATTTGAATGATGAATGTATATGAATGTTTTCTACACGATGCAGTTGTAACTAAATAATCTAACAACAATTCCTGTGTTAAAAAGATTCATTACAAAGTGAAGGAACAATCTAAACTCATTGCAAAAGTTTTATCAAGAATGGATCTAAGATCTCCATTTCAAAGAAGATAACACAAAATGGACTAAATGCTTGTACTGAATGAAAATCAAGCAGCCAGCTACCAGGGGGAGATTGAGATGTTTTGGCTTCACTTTTGCGGAGGTGTCATATCGTCCATCATTATATACAGTCTGTGGTCACAACACAACCTCAGGGTCATTTTCTGCCCCAAACAGCTGACCTACAGCATAACACAATGCAGCACATTTAGGTGTTTTTGTGTAGACATATGGAAGTTATAGGGTTGAGAAAATGTAATGCCAGAGGAAAGGGCTGTCTGACAGCAAAGCAGTGAAAATATTGTTAATATAGCGTTAACTTAGATTGATGTTAATTTTTTAAGCAGGAGTTTTTTTGAAGTGGCTAAAATATGTTTTGCTGTTAACCTCATCCACAGGAATGCATAGCTGAGATGCTGGGGTGCTAGTCCCGTGTCAGTATCCTAACGGGGAGCATAAAGCGCTGCTTTAAAAACTGGAACTACCCCTTTAAAATGAGGAAATGGACTGCAGACAATCGATGATAACAAACAATGTAAAATCAGGTCTCACCTTCCTTTGCAGGGGGGATGGTGGGCAGCGGCGTGGTGGTGGGGGGCCTGGTTGGAGCCTGAGTTGGGATGGGCACTACACAGAGAGTATAAACAAGACACACATGAAGATGTGAAAACCTGCAATCGTGACCACATTCATCGTAAAACCATCACCTCCCCAAAATCAAACTTCCCCTCTCAAAAGCATAAAAAGACAATTAAAGAGAGAAGAAAGCCTCAGACAGCCACACAGTCATACATTAACATACAGAATGTGTCAAATAACTACGTTCAGCTCTGTGATTTCAGCTCCTGTATAATTTGGTAGATTGATCACAGCGTTGGCTACAGTCTAAATGTCTCTGCTTTCAACCCCTCACCTTTATTCTGTGTGTGTAGAGGGAGGTTTAGATAAACCAGCTGTCCCCCTCTCAAAAACACACAACACACAGTTTACTGATTCAGTGGTGTTTAGGCAGTAAATCAGCTACCTGAGGCTGCGAATTACTTGTGATGGCAGGTGGGGAGCGTTCACTGACGGCTGCCTGCAGCGATTGGGAGAGTCATTTGTAGGAAAGGCTCTGGCTTTCATTTGCATCAAAACAAAGCAATAAATCATTGTGGAGGCTCTCTGCGGAGCTACAGTACGGAGGGCAGCAGCTTCAAGCTAGCAAATATCTGCTCTTTCTTTATCCTTTCCTTTTCTTTTATCGCTGTGGTTATTTCTTTTTTTCAGCCTCTTCTCCCTTTGTCTCTGTTTTTTTTTGTTCTCACTTCATTAATTTCAGTATACTATGGAAATGAACTTGTCCAGACTCTAAATGTGCTCCTGAAAGGTAATCCATCTCAGGGAACATTGTGCCTGCTATGGTTTTTGTCAAAGTTTCATTAGAATTGCCTGGCAATACAGTCCAGCCTTTACAAATCAGTTAACACCTTCAAATACAACATCATAACAGAAACAGAATAACTCTAACTAAATTAAAATGTTGCAAGTATGAGGCTCAGTTGTGTGGATGCTACAGTAGATGCAAGTATCAAACAGCTGCCTGCCAGAGGAACAAACGACAGTAAAGATCTTTGAAAGTTTTGCATCTTTAGCTCTGAATTTGTTAGAAAAAACGTTGTGGAAAAACAACAGGTCAGATTGAGATTATTTTCCTGTCTGGCACCCAGTTTAAATTTTGGTAATCTGGGGACAAACCCACGCTACACTAGGGTTAAGATGTGATTGCAACCGCTAGTGTTAGCTTCTTGTCGTTACTTATTTATTTATTTGCATGAAGAGCCAAAAACAGATGATGTATCTACTTATTCCACCCATTAATTAGTGTTCTGTTGATTTTCCAGTGATTGTGATATAAAACCACTAGATGAACAGCCATATTGAAGAAAAAAAAATTCGGAGATTTCCAGAATAAAGTCATAATATTACACGAAAAAACTTGTAATATTACGTAATATTACGAGAATAAAGTCATAATCTTACGAGAATAAAGTCGTAATATTACGAGAATAAAGTCGTAATATTACGAGAATAAAGTCGTAACTGAGGAAAAAGTCATAATCTTACGAGAATAAAGTCATAATCTTACGAGAATAAAGTCGTAATATTACGAGAATAAAGTCATAACTGAGAAAAAGTCATAATATTACAAGAATTAAGTCGTAATATTACGAGAATAAAGCCGTAATATTACAAGAATAAAGGTGTAATTTAATGAGAAAAAAGTCATAATATTATGAGAATAAGTATAGGTCATTAAATTACGACTTTATTCTCGCAATATTATGACTTTTTCTCAGTTATGACTTTATTCTCGTAATATTATAAGTTTTTTTCTTGTAAAAGCTACAGTTGGCAGCTTTATGAATATAACTTTTTGTCATTTTGGCTGAAACTGTCGCTACATCCAGAAAGTATTACATAAGTCTGTGAAAAAAATCATGTCCCACATCCTGGGAAATGACCAATAAGAGCATAGGAGTCTCTAGTGCAGCTGTCAATCATGACAATCACTGCTCATGAGCTGCCAAACTATGCAGTGCTGATCAAATATGAATTAAGATTCAAAGGTTTTCAGAAACATATTTTTGTTCCTGTGCCGTAATGTCATAAGAAGCAATTCAGGGGTGAATGGGAGGATCACCTTTTTCATAAATCATCCATCTCATGTATGACTGTAAGGGATGTGTTGACAGTCCAAGCAAATATGACAAGAAGTTATTTTATAAAAGTTACCAAGTGCAGCTTTAAACACCCAATTGTCCCAGCTGTCACCTGTACCTAAACCTGTAACTTTAAGGCGAGAGATATACGTGCTTTTTAACCACACGTTGGCGTAGACATCCAGCTGCATCGAGAACATTACTGTTAACATACTTGTCTATGCATGACGTGTGTTACTGGAGGATTACACTATAGGGCAAAGCAGATAACTCACACCGTATAGAACTTCTGGATTTGCATGTTAACAATAAACAGGGTGACACTCTAGGAGGTTACAATATTGTTAGCTCTGAGATCGCTGTAGATTATAACAGAATAAGTGACAGTGACACCACTGTAGATGATATGTATCAAGCATGTCGTGAAAATGTTAACTATGTTTACTTTGTTCTGGCAACACTGCTTCTACCTGTCATGTGTGTATTGCGTCTTGTGGACAAGTCACATTAATTTCTAAGGATGTGCAAACCCACGCTCCGAACAGAAGTGGGTTACACAGGCCAGCCATTATGTGAACATGAATGTGTAGTTAAAAGCAGGGAATAATAATAATAAACTTAATTTATAAAGCACCTTTTCATACACAGTAACACAATGCTGTAAATTAAAACTTAACATATTTAAGGAAAGCCCAAGCTAAAATCAAGATAATAAATGGGAAATAACATCCTTAAGACAGCAATAAAATAGACAGACAGCTCAGATAAAGTGAGAAAATGCTTCCCTATAGAAGTATGTTTTAAGAAGAGACTTAAACGAAGCCAGTGACTCAGACAGCCTGATATACTCGACTGTACACCAACAGGTCATAGAGTGTGCCAGGGCTGATGTGAAAACCCGGAAATTTAGCATCGCGCAGGTTTCCCGAAGGAAAAGTGAATGTGATTTTTGCATTGCGTTTTGGATTATGTCAGAAAATAAGCTCTGTGGCTAACACAATTTTATGATACTTACAGGTTTTGTTCAGCGAGATAATCTTCACATATGAACACCTTTCATACCGCATTTGAAGCTTAAATGCGATCGCCAGAAGTAAAAAAACGTTAGGCTTTAATGGACTACATGACTACTCCACGGTCGCATGACTCTTGATGTGGGAACTGCCCATTGGTCCGACAGCCCATTGGTTCGACATCCCATTGTTGGTTAAGGTTTGGTTAGGTTTAGGCACAAAAACCATCTGGTTAGGGTCAGGAAAAGATCATGGTGTGGGTTAAAATGAAAAAGAAAGTGACAAACACATACGCCGTGAGCCTGCTCCGCCTCAAGCCGGTCGCGGCGCACCATACGCCCGCCGCGAGCCGTTCAGCACCGCGGACAGTCGGACTAATGGGATGTCGAACCAATGGGCTGTCGAACCAATGACATAGAACCCTTGATGTCACCGCCACTAAGCTTTCAACTGATTTCGGCCACTTTATTTTTAAAACATTGTATAATGGGGAAATCGGACTGTTTAAGCTAAATAAGAATCTGTAATGGTTGACTGCCAGCACTCTCGCCTGTTCAGGGGTGATGACGTTTAATGTCCCCGACAGGGTTTGTAGTCATATTGAGCAACTTGTTAGCAACCGCCTTTTTTTACGAAAAGTAAAAGCTTCAAAATTCACAAGTAGGGTATTTACTGACGTGTTTTATGTCATAGAACAAAACGTGAAACTCGCTTAAGCTTTTGTTAACCACAGACCCTATTTGAGGCATTTTACCAAAATCCCATTCAAAAAACGTATTGACTTTTAGACGAGAGAACCGGGAAGCGCTAAAAGCGCTAACGGAGTTCCGAGTTTACTGGCACACACTATAGACTGCGGATCCTTTAAGTCCCTATGGGTTGTGAGGTGGGGTACCTCTGGGGTACTAGTATGCTCCAAGGACGCTCGATTACTTTGGAGTCTAGGGAATTTAGAGGCCAGGTCGACATCTTGAGCTCTTTGTGACGTTAATCTGGCCATTGCTGAGCAGTTTTTGTGGTGTGGCATGGAATTTTGTCCTGCAACAGTGTTTGTGTTGGTGGTGCATGTCAAGTGGCATCCACATGAATGACAGGACCGAAGGTTTCCCACCAGAATAATGCATTGTAACGAGATGTGTTACTGACTTGACTCGTTAGTGGTTTTAATGTTTTGGCTGATAGGTGTATTTATCTCATGGATTTTTAGCTACTTTTGTTTGGACTGCTTCCTGTGAGGTTTTTGTCTCACCATTCCACCAATACATAAATTATGAACTGTTCATGTCTGCTCGGTTGTCTGCATGTGGTCGTTTTTCCCTGCAGCCTCACACACCCATTTGACAACAATGGCCATAATGAGGGACATTTCAGGCATGCTGACAATCACTCTGAAATAATGAGTTGAACTTGACCTCATCATTACAGTGAAGCTGCTGAGTTAAATGTCATCATAGGTAATATAGATTTAAACAATGGAAATGTTGCTGCTGTTCATTGAACACACTGAAAATTTGAAAACACTCCACCTTCCCTCCTTCCCAGCCTCCCTCCCCTGTTTGCAGACAGTGGGTCCTGATTAGCGTTTGGGGCTCCCACGAGGATAAAAGATGTTATTATGACGTGATCATTCTCCCAGCCTGTAGTGGGCTTCTATTATACATAGTGACAGCTGCCACCAATTTCTGTACAAGTGTGTGTTTGTCAAGCGTGTGTTTCTGCTATTGTCAATCTGACTGGGCTCATTTAAATGGGTTTGGCACATTGTATGGAGGAGGTGAAGTACTTGATGTGTCTGTGGTGTATATATAGGCTAAGTGTGTTTATGTATCATAGCCTTACATGAGAGACAACTGTGCAAAAAAATGTGCAAAAAATTTGTTTGTTAGCGTAACTGAAATGTTAGTTTTTCAGGATACCGGATTCTGAAAAAGCCTAATTTCTCCTAAAACTGCCCACAACACTTTCAGTTACACGTAAACTAAAGCATGAAAATCCTTCAGAAAAATGAATCTATGATAGACAACCTTCTGTATTGTTTGTACTGTTTGATGATGTGACTGTGTATTGATGTACTTACGTGTCTTATCTATCACAGTGACTGCAGGCCCCTCAGTCCCGTCCTGCAGCTGAGCGTACACACTCATCTTATACTGCGTGTTGGCCTTCAGGTTGTTGAAACAGTGTCTGTTGGATGATCCGCTCAGCTTCGTCTCCTGCTTCTGACCATCTGCAGTAAAAATACAGAGATCACCTCGCTATCATTCTGGAGAGGCAACTGGTTTTGCAATAACAGAGAAGAAACAAAAAGATGTGTAAATACATTGAATTATTTACTGTCTCACAACAAGCCAGCTGCCAAAACTTTCCTTGTAGCACCCGATGCCAGTTAACATTATTTGTTCCTAAATAGGCCTCTTATATAAAAATATCTTATTATCATTGTATTGATTTGACGCCGTTAGTGTGATTCAGGATGAAGGTGTGTCGGTCTTTGAGGTGAGACAGAGAGGAGGCTACACTCTTGGAAATAAAGGTGCCAACTACAACTATGTAAGGTCCACTGGCTTGTCCCCATAAGAAAACCCTTTGTGGTTCCTTATAGAATCTTTCATGAAGGTTTCACCTGGAACCCAAAGGATGATACCCAGAACCATCTGTGAAATGTTTCACCAACACCCCCTACAGTATTTATTTATTTATTCATGTGTTTGTTTTTTTATTCATTTATTTTCTTTGGATGCCCATTGGCCACTACCAAGGAAGCAACTACTCTTTCTGGGGTTTACGCAAGTAAACATTAAATCATTATGTATAACAAAAATATAACGTAGAATCCAAGACAAAGTGAGCAAATCAAAAGATTACGGGCAAAACTACAAAAAATAAATAAGCAAATAAAAAAACATCAGTAAAACATCAATAAAAGTGCTAATGACAATAAGTACAAAAAAGACAAACAGTACCCACTTTATATCTTAATAGTCAGTAAGACATTTGATACCACTCAGATTTATACTACAACTAAAAACAGCATATACGCTGAGAAATTAAAAAGACCAAGAGAGTTCCTCATTAATGATCATATGGTCAAACATAATCCAACAAACATGTCCACCCAGCAGGTTCTATCCGGAATTTGTCCACTTTCTAAGGGTACTAAGAACCCACGAGGTGGGTTCTTTTAAGAACCTTTTTATATTTCATCTACAATCCACCCAGGAGTGGGCTAAACAAAAGGGGGTTCTTTGGATGAAAACAGTTCATAATGGAACTATCCAGTCTTTCCACCTTCTAAGGGTGCTAACAACCCACCCAGGCAGTTCTATCTATAACCTTTTTATATTCCAAGGGTTTCATCTAGAACCCACCCAGGGGGTTCTTTGGATGAAAAGGATTCATAATGGAACCCTAAGTCTTACAGAGAATCTTTAGACCTTCTAAGGGTGCTAACAACCCATCCAGGGGTTTCTATAGAGAACCCTCTATATTCCAAGGGTTTCATCTAGAACCTACCTGGGAGTGCTCTAAAAAGGGGCGTTCTCTGGACGAAAATGGTTCATATTGGAACCCTTAGTCTGACAGAGAACCACTGAAGAACTATCCAGAAATTTTTCACCTATTAGGGGGGTTAACAACCCATCCAGGTGATTATATTGACAACCCTCTTATATTCCAAGGGTCTCATCTAGAATCTCCAAGGGGGGCTTTAAGGGGGGTTCTTTCGATGAAAAGTGTTCATAATGGAACCCTTAATCTTACAAGAGCCCTAAAAGAACCCGTTTGTCAAAAAAGGGTTCTTCAGAAGTGAATGGTGCTGGGCAGAACTTCAGTCCAATAAAAAGGACCCTTTGGGAAACTTTTTTTCTACAAATGTACAAGGACTCTGCAGGTGATAATGATTGTACTCTTACAGATTCAGATTCTTTTCAGATTTATGTAAAAATGTGCTTTTAATGAGGACTGCTTATCTGCATTACTTCCCAAAAGTGTTGCTCATCCCGCACTCATTTCCTCAGCACAACAAACTGAATTTTCTAAGCTAAACTGGTAAACAACTGTGAGTCAAAATGGCCTTCCTCTTAGCAAGGTTGTTGTTAAGATTCCTCTATATATTCCAGAGGTGGATGATGATGATTATCTTCAAATATAGAACCATTTACTGACGCACCAGATCTCCTTAACACTTGTGTGTCATTTGGATGTGTTTTTCAGTTTGTTCTCACTTTTCTCTTTCACAGTGACATGTTTGAAACGTCCCACAGGACTGTTTTTTTTTATTTTTTATAGCAGCTCAGTTTGTTTTTCTCCCCAAATAAAACTGAATAAAATTAAACTTTTCACGGTCAGGAATACGTGACAAACCAAATCCAATTACTAAAATAATCAACATGTGTTTGTTGTTTTTGTTCACTCCACGCTAACAGTCAGGGTCTACTGGCAACCTGTCAAATATATTTCTAAGGAAAACGTATCCACAAAACACAACGCATTCACTTGTACAGCTTCATCACAAAGGGCAGGTGGAACATTTTAATGAGTTAAAGAGCTGCAGCACTGTGCCAAGTCAATTTTTACAACTGAAGCTCATAACAAAACTGACAATATAAAACAACATCCAGAAAGACTTATTTTGACACAGTGCAGGTACATTCCCCATGACCACAACTACTGAATGCTTTCATTGCAGATGCAGAATGAATGGCAGAGCAAAAGTCACGTTAAGTGCTGCAGGATGGGAACAAGTGAATATTCATTATATTCACATGTGCATCCCTTTTACTCAAACTGTCTCAAACTCATTCAATTCATCATTTTATCGAGTCCTTAAGCCAATTTTCAACAGAAAAGCTAAGAAATATAATGTCAAAGCACTAAGTGAAGCTTACTTCCCAACAAAACCCTATTCATTCGATTTCAAGGTGAAGTACGGCTAGGTAAAGGTGAGGTAAATTATTCATATTATAATATTATAAATGTCAAACATTCACCCACATGGGCTTATGGGAAACTACTGACAATGTTAAAAAATGACAAGGTACTCGCTTATGTTTTGACAGCTCACCAGAGGCCCCAAATCCTTCTGAGCCATTTGTGGGTTTTTTAAAACTCACTGTAAACAGGGCAAGGTGGGAGAAAATGTGGAGGAACTGTTGGGTACAATAACATAAGGCTCCTCTCATTTCTCTATTTTGTTCCTCCTTGTCTCCTGTCCGTCCGTCCTCCTGCCTGAGACCTGAAAATGGATCGTTGCACGCCATCTTGTAGGATATATCAAATTCAAAAAAGCATCATGAGGAGAGAGGAGGCTTGCAGGAAGAACTATGAGGATGCACAGGTGTATCCTTTGTGGAAGTCTTTTTGACAACCGTGATAAGGTGGCATGATACACACCTGATCATGCAGCTGTGCCACATGTCATATTTTATTGACCGACTTGACTTAAGATCCAGTGTGTAGGATGTAGGAGGATACTGACAGCAGCGGAATGCATATTATAATAAGTATGTTTTCTTTAGTGTATGACCAGAAAATAAGAATGTGTTTTTGTTACCTTAGAATCAGTTGTTCATATCTACTTAGGGATCGAGTCCTTGTCTATGGACAACTACACACTATCTCTAGATTGGGACATTCATGTTTTTGTGCTTTATCCTGTGTTTTTACTAGTTTAAATCACCTAGTCTGCTGAAAATTAAGCTCCTGGTAAAAACCTAAACACTAAAGAAAAATTCTATCGAGGAGAAGTTTCAGCTGGTTGCAATCTGCAGTCCTCACTGTTAGTGTTACAGGTATGGTGAGAACAAAATAAAGCACCACAGGCAGACAGAAAAGTTATGTCCTTTAATATTTTGCTTGTCAAACATAGAATGAGCAGACAAGTGAAACAACAGTTAGAGTCAATTTCTTGGCTCAGAGTCTTCCAGGACAAGGTTTCAGTAGTAAGCGCTTGGCATAACACACCAAAGCAGAGAGCAGGTCAGTCACTGGTGTCCACAAGTGCACACAAATGGCAAACAGTTCAACTGTGTGCAGCGGTACCATGAGGGAGCAGACAGCGGGCAAAGTCAGATGAGCAGGGGGTCCAGAACCAGGAGTACACATGGGAGAAACAACACACCTGTGTGGAGCCGACTATAGGTTGGTCAGAACCAGCAAGGAGTCAAGAAACCATCAGTGATGACGAGTGTATGCCACATTGCACACACAAAGGCAGAATGTGCTGCTACACAGCGAGGTAATCCACAGCACAGGAAATCACAGGCAGCAGAACAGGTAAACTCACAATGTGGAGCTGACTGGCAGTCCCACTACACAGCCATGGGGAATAGGTGACCAGGAACCAGGAACATGGAAGCAGAACTCTTGATTGGAGACAGAAGGCTAAGTAGTTTACCAGGGAGCAGGTGAAGCAGGCGAGTTGGCAACAGGGAGGTAGTGCAGGGAAAACCACTGGAAAATCTTCCATGGATATGGTGAAGAACAATTTGGCAATGAGATTCTGTGAAGCAGTAGTCTTTATAGTGGCAGGGAGTAATGAGGCACAGGTAAGGGGAGTTGGCTTGATGAGGTGGGTGTGGTGGACCGGCAGGAGCGGGAGACGTGTGAATAGGTGATAGGCTGGCAGGTAGGTGTGGTGGAGAGGTGGAGTGAGAATGGCGTGTATGGCAGGTCAAAAGTGCAAACTGTGATAGATAGATTTCACCAAAACTGGAACTTTAAACCTTTTACCCAATCTAGTGGCACAGGACGTCATCCAGAGCTCACCATTTTACTTTTCTCTTCACATGAGTTTTTACTTTCTGCCAGCATACTTGAAGTCTTGAAGTCTGGAACGTGTTTTGTCTTTCCCTTTGGGTTGTAGTGTGGGCTTGTCTTGTGATGTTATATGTGTTCTCTCCTCTTTTGATTGTGGTCGCTATTGTCTTCTTAGATGGTAATCCTTACAGTTCCCCATTTGTGGTTTTTGAGCTTTACAAGTAGCATTGACATTTGCTGCAAAACACATGTATCTTTCTTGTGAGTGCCCTGATTTTTTTCCATGTCTTAGGACCATAGAATGGGACAGTCTTCATGTCGGTGTTGAGGATACCAAGGTTGGTGTTGTTGGAGCGCTGTTTAGATGACCAGATTCTCTGTAGTATCTTGAATGTCTGCTGTGTTTACCAAAGTCCTATTCAATTAGATAACAGCTCTGAAGCATGAATTTCTTATTCTTGATTTATGCTT